TTTGTAGTATACTTCTGGCTTTGGAATGTTGGCACAATGGTTTTAAAGGTAAAAATAATAGAAAATAAACTCAGCTCTGTACTTCTGACTTTGGTACTTTGGCACAATGGTTTTAACAAAAGTTACAAAAAAATATAATCTTACAACAGATGTCGATCTCTCTATAAACCTATAGAATTTTTCTAAGTAATAATGCAGATCCTTTTCATTTCTTCTATTTATGTACAACAGGCCTACAGCTGTCCAACCATGACTCACAAGACGGGAAACAACTAACATCTATCTTTGCATGGAAGAAACTCCGACGTCTTAGAATATCTCTCAAATCGCGATGGGGTCAAAACTTTGCATCTATCTTTGGACCCACTGGAGATAACCATAAGATTTCACATCAAGACCTCACAAATATGGTCTTGCATGTGAAGTTGGAGAAGCTCATTCCACGATTTACAGCGGCGACGGCCGATTGTATGTCCACTTTACTGTGCTTGACATATGTTTTGGCCCCAGGCTTCGGCCTTTATTCACGTGGCATCCTGTTCATTCACCCCGCTTATTTAGCAACAATATGAAAATAAAAAAGAAAAGGAAAAAGAATATATAAGGACTAATGCAAATGATTTCCTTCTCCAAATTCACATGCAAGACCATATTTGTGAGGTCTTGATGTGTAATCTGATGGTTATCTCCAGTGGGTCCGAAGATAGATGCAAAGTTTTGACCCCATCGCGATTTGAGAGATATTCCAAGACGTCGGAGTTTCTTCCATGCAGGGGTAGATGTTAGTTGTTTCCCGTCTTGTGAGTCATGGTTGGACAGCTGTAGGCCTGTTGTACATAAATAGAAGAAATGAAAAGGATCTGCATTATTACTTAGAAAAAAAATAATTTCAAAAAACTTTTTCTGCTTTTTGTCCCTATTCACCTCTGTGTTAATATTTGCCCCTTTTTACGGTACTGATCTGTGTGTTGTAGGAACAAGGCATTGCTTGGGTGGTGGTTGGTGATGAGAACTATGGTGAAGGTTCTAGTAGGGAACATGCTGCCTTGGAACCCAGACATCTTGGTGGTAGAGCCATCATTGTCAAGAGCTTTGCAAGGATCCATGGTAAGTAGAAAGCTGAAGTAGGATCGGTAGGTCTTTTGCCCTTGGTTTTGAATAAGGTGCTATTGGATTATTCATTAACCCTCCTACTCAGGCGCAGTTCTACGGGGGGGCTAGGGGGGCTGTAGCCCCCCAAAAATTTTGTCTAGCCCCCCCCCCCCCCCAAATAAATTCCTTAAAAAAAAAATTGCATTAGCAAAAAGAAGGATTGTGATGTACATGCGAACGGTCTCCCCCTGAAGAAGAAATAGCCGTGACAAGGGTGCATTAGCTAATATATTGTGAACGATTTTAGGATTTTATTGGCGCTCCCCATTGAAAATATGGCATGAGCCCCCCCCCCCCCCCCCCCCCCCCCCCCCCCCCCCCCCCCTACATTGATTTTCGGAGGCCTAAGTGTCTGGAAAAAATAACCGGTCAACATTTCAGCACGACTCCCTGAAAAAAATTCTGGATCCACCGTGCTAGCCCCCCAAAATATTGGTTCTAGAACCGCGCCTGCTCCTACTGTTTAAACAGTCCCAGACAGGCAACCACTTCCCTGCCATGCCTTTTACACAGGCTAGTCACAAACAGTCTTTATAGGCTAGCACTCTGACAAGTCCAATTCAGTCAACAGACAAAAGCAGGAAAGTGGTGGCAATCTATCTTATGAATCACCTACAGTCAAAGCACAGCTGTATCAAGTTACATAAACAGTCACAGCCAGTCAATCCTGCTTTATGTACGCTGGGAATTCTTAACTGTTGAAAACAGTCACTTGATTGAATTGAAATGAAAAGACAAATTTGCTCAGAATGTATGTTTGCATAGGAGGGTTAAGTGCTCTGTTAGGAATTACCGATACTTATCATTCAAATACGTTGCCCACAGGAAGTCGCTGTATGTGCACTGAAATAACACTTGACATATTGGCAATTGAATTTGACTGAATGCTTTAATAAAACCAACCACTGGGAACATCAAAGTTTTATTTAAATGATTCATATCATGGTGACCATGACATGCATCACGTATGAAGGCATTATGCATTTTTAGTCTTTAAGTTTATATTTTTTTAATGAAGCTTAACTTTTTATTGTTAACTTTTATTACTCATTATGAATTCAATGCAATTTTGCCATTGGCAACCAAGTTGAATTTTAATAAAACATGAATAATAAGCAAATAGTAACTTTTCCTTCCATTTTTGACTGCTAACATGAATGAGTAATGATTTAATTAAGACAAAACCACTCTCTGGTGTACTAAAAGAAACCTAAAAAGATTGAATGTCTTGAAATGCAGAAACTAACCTGAAGAAGCAAGGTATGTTACCTTTGACCTTTGCTAATGCTGCTGATTATGATAAGATTCAGCCAGATGATGAAGTCAGTCTGCTGGGAGTAATCTCACTTGCCCCTGGATCGGTAAGGATACCTAGTCAATATACACTTGTTTTGTAACTTAGTGCATATTAAATGAATATACATTAACCTGAACCCATCCACACGTTTGTAAAGGAACCCTTCTTTATCCACCAATTAATGAGCAGAACTCTCAAAAAATCCCCCCCCCAAAAAAAGTACTGAATTCACCATATTTGCCCTTGAATGCAGGGAAAGATGACATCATTTTAAACCCTAACCTTCCCAAATCCTCCCAAATCCTCTTTGCAAAATGGAGGATTCTGCAGGATTGAGGCTATATGGCAAAAGTGCGTTGCTGATTTCGGAGGATGCACTGTGTCAAGGTCTTGGGCCGGACCTTGTGTTGTTTATGCTCAGCCGTGCATAAATTTAGGACTAAATTACACTTGAAATCCTCCGCACTGCTCCAGGATGTCACTGTCTCTGCCTCAACATATTGACAGTGATTGCTGGAGGATTTTGCAGGATTGAGGTTGTAAGCTATTTTTACATGGAGGCAGTTGGAGGATTTTGCAGGATTGAGGTTACATCCTAGCAAAAATGCCTAGGGATTGGGGTTAATATACACGCAAACTAGTCTGTTTGTGAAAAATTCAAATGTCATTGCCACAAGGCATTTTAGTTTATTCTGAGTACATGTATTACTTTTCTGTTTTCATATCACAGCAAGTGACGTGTCGTTTGAAGCATAGTGATGGTACATGCGAGGAATTCCCACTGGATCATAGTATGAATGAAGGGCAGATAGAGTGGTTCAAAGCAGGCAGTGCACTCAATAGGATGCGGCAATTGATAGCATCCGAGTGATGCATCACATCAAATATATATCTGGAATACTTGGTCAATGATCCACCCTTGTCCATACTGCAGGCATCAATGTTTATCCATTGTTTTCAAATGAATGTGTCATGACAAATTCTCACATAGGTACAACTTTAGGAATTATATGATTGCCAATTGAAATAATATATATATTAAAAGAATTTTAAAGGCCAACACATCCCTTACATATGTAAGCAAAATGTAAGTTTCTTTTCTTACAAATTTAACCTAATTTGGAATGGATGCTGAGGAGTGCATACATGATTGGACATGAATATTTCAGGAATTACATTTATAAAATACAATTTGATTTTCCTGTGGTTGCAGTGTTCTTTATACAGATGTTGCTGATACTAATATTCAAATACATGTTTAGATTTGTACTTATTCAGTCAAATATTGTTGTGTAAAAGAACGTTATGAATTGAGATAAACATATTTAGTATTATAAGGGCAGTTGCACCTGGTCACAAATAATCCGAATAGTAATTACACAGAGGATTATTTTTGATGCCCATTGTCAAAAATATTGTGAAACAAGCAATGTCATCTCAGATGACCCTGGTTAGAAACATGCTTTGTGAACCATACGTGTTGAAATTTAAACCAGAAAGACATAACGTTGAGTGGAATTTTCCTGAGTTCAAACTTACAAGATGAAAACTTTTGTAATTGATAATTTCAATAAATATATTGAACCTGTCTGGTTTTGCTTTGTAAATTAAATCCTCTTCCGCTTTTTGATGTAACGTATTGACAAAAGTTATTCGCATTTGCCTGTACCATACCACATAGTTGTTTTTTATTCAGGTCAATTGACAATATTGATGAACTTTCTGTTGTTCAAATCCTACAAGATCTGAGAGAAAATTTCAGACCAGGTGATATCGTTGAGTTGGGAAAATCAAAACTGTTATGAATATAACAATTTTGTAGTGAAGTTCTTTTAGATTTTCCATGTTAACTCAAATATAAGGTGGTATTGTAGGAATTCAGGCCAAGTTGAAGGGTCATTTACTGAACACTTTGAGTGAAATGAAGCGTTTGGACACAGATCCAGAGATAGCATGCAAGAGATGTAGGAATATTTGCAGAAGACTTGGATGTTTTCAGCTTATCCTTTTATCCAAATTCCTTTCCTTAATCAAAAGTACTCCGACAAGTCAGCACGGTTGGAGTACTTTTGATTAAGGAAAGGAATTTGGACAAAAGGGTAAGCTGAAAACAGAAGGACGTACTCATGGAAGGACTTACTCTTACAACCGATATCAGCTTGGCATTTCATTTTATTCATGCAACATAAAGATAAGTTATCGATTAGACTTTCAATTGTTTAGGGTGGGGGTGGCTTTACACAAGATTTCTGCCATACTAGAAATAAATAAGTCAGCACCCAATATTGTTAATTTCCCAAATTCTTACAAGTTAAAAGCACCATTAGGCTAAAGCACCCATGCATATATGCCTCTCCCTCTGCGGTGAGTATTGAATTGCAAAAATGGTATTAAACAGGTACTTTATATTGACATAATACATGCTTTTTAATATCAGATTTTATAAGGTAAAGTGCGACGCCTCCATGAAATAACTATCAACAAAATGTGTGACCTTTTTTTCTCACACACATAATGCTTCCCATGGACAGAATAAAAACAAAGATCTTGGTTGAAGACTGCCTGATGTCTGGGTTTTATTGAATACTTTATGTTCACTATTTGACGAGAGCATTTCAGAAATCCTGCCCAATCCCTAGCATAGCAAAACATTTTTTACACAAGCCCTATGGCATAGCTGTATGGAACACCAAATATCCTAAGGGGTTTTGCACCAGTGGCATTACCAGTGGGTGTTCTCAATTTCTACTGATGTTGCTATGTGTGGAAGGTCAAAATCATCAACTGCCTCATTTATGCCGGTGGTTTTTTTTTTATTGAAGTTTGTTCAGGTAAAAAAAAGGAATTCTTGATACAACTGTCCACTTGGCTACTGTCTGGTTTAGTGCCATGGGAATTGGAGCACAATTTAGCGTAGTCATATTTGAAATGGTACAACAATCTAGCCTCTGTCAACATTTCCGGAGAATTGTTTAATACAATAAGCCAGTTCGGTATTTCAACTACACATGCGCACAATGATAGGGTTTACGGGTCATTCGGGATAATCGAAGGCATATGCGTATGAACACATGCGGAGACGGTCGCACGATCGTAATTACGAGCAGAATGGGCGTCCATGTAACAACACGTATCATCACGTCAGTGATTTTATCCCGAAGACCTTTGACATGGACTACTTCAGCGAGGTACCGAACTGGCTTATTCTCCTAAATTTGGGTAAAATACATACACATGTACTCTGAAATGTGTAATTTTTTTGGATACTTTCTTTGGTATGTTATTTATTAGCATATTTGACAACCACAGCCATAAATACAAAATCGGTCTACTATTGAGGAACGTGAATTAAGTCTATTTCTTCAAGCAGAGGGCAATTTTTAAGGCTTTTTTTGTTTGATTGGACTGCACACCTGTTCTGGACAATCTATTTAAAACTTGTGCGATTTAAGTGTTTCTCAAATCCCTTTATCAACAAACCCTGGCAATATTTTAAAGGACTAAAACTTGAAGTATAATTATTGGAAAGCACTTGCACAATAAAGTGGGAAACTAGACTTTAAAGTGTTGCCTTCCATTTAACAATAACCATCAATAATGGGAGTGGCTTTAATTGGAGCATCGTTTTCATTTCAACAATGAAAAGCTCATGTTGCCTTTCCCAGATTCTGAAAGGGGGGGGGGGGCAGGACTCAAGTGGGAAGACCCATGCCCCCATGCATCCTGCCTTATTAGTTACACACCACTGCAAATTGTTCCTTGTCACTTAAAATCATGATATTGTTTTGTTTTTAGCTTAAAATTGACCTTTTGGTTCCCCATTCTTTTGCCGCAGTCAAATTTCAATTTTCATCAAAAGTGTAAATTACAAAATGAAGGAATGTAGTTCAATTGATTTCGTTAACTCCATCCCTTGGAAATTTGGTTGGAAAATGTCCTGAACCTACAAAAGCCTCCAGGGTGCAGTGAACCTGCAAGATAAGCAACACTGAGTGTTGAATTCAGAGGAAAAGGGGATAACACCAATATTTCTAATGTTCAAGCATTAGCTCTTAAAAAGAGAACTGAAAAAAATAATAGAGTTTGATCTTTTTCAAAATGTGATATATAATTGACTTGTTTACAATCAGAATTTATGGAGCATAAGTTAACTCTGAATTTAACTATGCAGAAATACCGTAACTGAATGCGTGTGTTTCATCAACATATTCAATCCTTAGCTGTATGGTTATGATATAAACAGTCTACAAAAGTGTTTACAATACATTCAATAGCAATCTAAGAATTTACAATCATTTTCTTCAGTGCCAGTAAGAATGTCTTGAAGTAATGAGAGTGGATTCTTTCCATTAGTATCCATCAATTTGGTTTTCTCGTCCAGCAGTTCTTTTAGGTTTAACATTTCTAGTTCCCCTTGCATTTTCTTCATGAACGTTACCATGTCAGAAGCATCCATTTTATCAACTGTCATCTCTTTTGGAAGGCAATTGTATAAGTTCAGGAGCATCTGGCATGCCCTTCTTGCCACTGTTGGGTCTTCATCCTCTAAAACCGCAACAAGTTTTCCAATAAGTACTTCCTCTTTGAGAAATTGCAAAAATTCAAACATTGGTTTAGCTGGCTGATCATCAGTACCTTTGGTAACTTCACACAAATCCTTTCCTTCAGAGTTCTGGAGTTTTTCTTGATCAGTTTCTTCCCTTTCGTTTGCATCAGATGTAGTGTTAATTCTAACTGGTGTGCACATTTCAAGAAGAGTTTGCCAGAATATCAAAGCTCCATGCTTGACTTCCCAATCAAGATCAAACATAGCTGTGGAGACAGCACTCCGTATCTGGGATGCCACAGATGACTCCTCAGCAAACTCTGTAGCATTTCTGTTTGCCAGCTTGTTGTCCTTACTTTGTGGCATTCTCACACATGCCTCATCAGTGGAACCCTGTAATCTCCCAGGAAGACCAGTCTCAAGCCATGGAAACACCTTGAGCCACTGTGTATATGTGTTAACAGTGGCTCGTCGAAGAAATCCTGGGCTGTCATCAAGAAGAAAGTTGATGAACTCCCCCACCAACACAATCTGGAAATTAAGGTAAAAGGGTAAAAATAATTAGATTGTGCTCATTTTTTCTTGACACTGCTAACAATTAGTGGTTACACAGCAGCATTTACTGTTCATACAGAGTCTAAAGCAGACAAACCAATCCAAACCTACCTCGGACTTTCCAGTGGTTTGCAACAAATCCTTCCACAGGTCTTCTTGTTTTGAGATATCAACCAGTGCATTCATTGCAGTTGCCCTGACAAAGCTTTCTCCATCCTGAATGCATTCCAGAATCCGTACATGCAACCTGTGACACTTGAACCAGCTACATAATTCATCTGTGAAAATATACATGTGACATTGTCAGTACAGAATACCGGCATACTGTTTTCAATTTTCAGTTTTAGGTTTGAAATACAATGCTGTGGACCTTACATGAACAAAATCCCATGCTTCAGTTTATGGAGTCTATTCATAAAGACTGATGTTATTATAAAGGGTGGATAAAAAAAAAAAACCCTGAGATATAGGTTTTCCCGGCCAATTTCGCAAAAATAGCATTCAAATTCATCTTGATAGCGGCCAATTTGAAGCGAAGTAGCGCCCTGCTGTCATTCCCGTGGTTCGTATTAGATTTCAGGCGTTCAAATTAGTTTGAAGACCTGACATTTTCATGTTTAACACATCCTAAATTGAAGTTTTGTCATTCGGTTCAAGTGGTCATTCAATCTAGCAGTTGATTTGGTTTGCATGAGATTCTTGTTTTCGTTTTCATTTCCGCGCATTCTATTTAGCACTTTTTTCATTCAAAATAAAAGTCAACGAAGGTATACGATGCGAGGCTTTTCATTTCTTTCACCTTTTCATTATTTCTGCTTCATGTCGTGGTCCAGTTTTGTGTTTTTGGCCCCTCCTCTAGGCAGGTTTTCCCGTCTGCCAGGTCTCTGATACGTTACTACAATTGACCTGGCAGTAGATATCTGTTCATGCAAAGATTGTCTGCAAGTTCAAGATAGTCTTGAGCATCAAACGAGCACGATCTACAATTGAAATTCTCATGTAATGCCCATGAGCTGGCATATTGATATTTCAAGTGCTTCAATCCAACAGTTTGCATGGTGATCAGAGTAGTGGCGAGTCTTGTGGGAGACAGGTTTTTATATTTATATTTCCAAACTGGAACAAAAGCGCTTTATCTTATTCTAACAAATAACAAACGACTTAACGACATTTCCACATATGATTGCTTAATGGTGAATTCGAATGACCAAACTTACACAGCTGGAAGCTCCGGCGAATTTGGATGCTCGTTTGTGCAATTTGCATTTGAATGCCCTATTGTTGAAATTGCATGATTAAAATGTGAAATCGCATGCTTTTAATGTGAAATTGATTGCACGTGCATTCAAATTCGTGCAAAAATGGGTGATTGGTCGCCAATTTGGCTGCCAAATCTGCTAACTTGGCCGGGAAATCTATATTATTGCTAATTGGAACAGAAGTAGGGCACATGTGAATCAAAGGGAGATATCCTCTGTCAGGGTTGAATCTCCTCTTGAAAATGACACCCTGATCATGTCCTTACATTCACGGTTGACTGAGCAGTGACCAATTTTATGAAAGGGTCTATTGAGAGAATTGCGCCACTTTCAATTGTGGTTTTTGTGTCATTTGTCACAGAGTGAAAGGCTATGGTTGCCAATTAAGGCGGGGGGGGGGGGGAGATTTCACCATGAAAAGTGGCGCAATTCTCTCAATAGACCCTTTCATAAAATTGGTCACTGCTCAGTCAACCGTGAATGTAAGGACATGATCAGGGTGTCATTTTCAAGAGGAGATTCAACCCTAGCAGAGGATCCCTTTGATTCACATGTCCCTTTGATTCACATGTGCCCTACTTCTGTTTCAATTAGCAATAATATCTTGGTTTCATTTTTTGGATCCACCCTGTATGTGGCAGGAATGACATTACATCTGACATCAATTAAATGATTTTTACATCACTTAAATATTATCTTACACGTCATTATTATCACAAAGGTGCAGAACATCAGATGTGTAGCATGCATCCCACAACAGCATTTCATATCCAATAGGAAAGCTCACAGTAACAAAAATACTACATTGCAAACTTTTATTCAATTTGCACAATATCCAAACATTGATGACTGCATAGATGGCACCTTGGATGCTATATGCATTCTTAATAAGGGAATAAATGTGTACTTGGGAGGTTTTAAACATAGTGTTTAATACCCACCAAGCACATATTTATTCCCATTCATAAATACCTTTTCGGTCAAAAAACAAAATTTTTGGGTCCAAAAATTCAAAACAAGTCAAAAACTAGACGTTGCCAACCATTTTGTTCAACAATTTTACTTCATGTTTTATGAAACAGCCCTCTGACTATAATATGGAACGTCCCTCTACAACTCCTTACCTTATAAAGAGATTGGCGCGTGTCGCACGTACTGTACGACGTCGCGCAAAATACAGTTGGGCTGGTGTAGTGTGAATTTCGGACTATGAAATACTGATTCACTGTAGTACTGCCCGCATGCCTACATGAGGATTGTGAACCTTCAACCATTTAAACGGTAAAAGGCACTTGATTTCATAGGAGTCCAAATTTCACATCTCACTGGAAAAGACCAGCCAGCCATATGTCTTTATCATCCATTTAAGACCGGCCACGTGACGGGCTCTCGACCAATGGGAATGGGTAAACTGGCTTAGGTATTTATGAATAATAAATAATAGTGTGTACTTATGTGGAGATGGTGTTGTTGCCGGACCATCTGCAGACGTTAACGTAAGTCCGTAGCGGTAGATTGGAGGGCGCCACCATGTGTCAGAGTGTGGTGATGCCACATTTCCACCTCCGTCGCTGATCGCTGCCTTAGGCCCCCCCCCCCCAAAAAAAATAGTCGGTCTCTGGTCAGACCAAAGTTCCGAAATTGATGCGGCGCTGCGTTTTTTTGTTTGATTGTTGTTGATTTTTCAAGCTTGGATTGCACAGACAAGGTGGGTATTATTTTGCTTTTTTTTGGTGCCTCCGCACAGTCACTTATTTGTTCTGTAAGGGGGATAGCTTGGGGATGATCCGACCATCGCACGCAGTCACCTTCCATCCAGCGTGCTTGACCTCTAAAAAAAAATCTCTCGCCACTGTACAGAGTCCCATCTTACACAGATATGTGCACAGTATACCGTACCCGGTACCGTCACATGACACAATATCGAACGGTCTAAGAGTTTTCACTCCACAAATGAAGGACACGGAAATAAGTGGCATATTTCATGTATTTAGACACGCTATTCACAATCACCTCACGTCATCGGGTCGAAAACGTGTGTAGTTGACTAGCCCGGTAGCCGCCATTGTTGTTGATCAGTTGGCAGCAGCCTCGTACCCATGGTCTACTATCATTCGTTCGTTCAACATCAACCTCGTACCGGATCTATCACCCTGGTGGGTATACGAAGTCAACTGGCCGCCAACAAAAATTTGAGGCAATGCGGCAATAGAGGGCGCTGTACCACGAAAAATTTGAAAAAAAAAGAAAGGTTGACGCGGATGATCAAAATCGACAAGCGCGCTGACCAGAGACCAACTAATATTTTTTTTTTTGGCCCTATCGACCTTACATTTGCAGCCACAATTAAACAATTGTTGTCAATCTGAACCCCTTGGTGTCAAGTGTCTTATAATCAATACTTGGCACAACGCCAACCCCCTCCACAAGAGTCAGAAGTGGGATTGACTTGGCTTGCAATATATAACATCAATTTAAAGCGATCGGAGGCTGATTGTGGTCAAAAATCTGAACATAATATTCTGCAGGTCTCTCTTCAGAAAGCAGACTGAGAACAGACATGACGTCCACTATTAAATTACAACACGGTGACCAGAAGAATCTGCGGTTTGCGCTGGTTAAGGGTAAACTTCCTGTCCACGCACTGGAGGGTCATTTTGAAGGTGCTACGGGCCTTTCTTACACTGACGGTGAGGACGACATAATCCTACAAAGGGTCAACAACATGACCTTGCCCCCAGATGGAGATTGGGATGATCGAATATACAAGGTGGTAGTTTGAGAAGAGTCACTGGCCAAACCTGCAACTCTAGTCGCCACGTCAATGCAGGTGGTGATGACACCAGAACGGAGAATCCCAGTTTTTGAGGGGCGAGATGAATCCAGTGGGAAATCAGTCCCAGCAGATGAGTTTGTGACAGTGATTACAAAGGCATTTGATCAATACAATGTTCGCGAGGATCAGAGGGGTCAATTTCTACGAACTTCGAACAGGCCCGAAGATCGAGGTTAGATCCTTACTTTCTGGAGGCAAGAATGTAAAAGAGGCCCTGGTCTATCTCCAATCATCATATGGGGAATCCCTCACATGTGGTGAACTCCAATGTAAATTTCTTGAGCGCCGTCAACAACATGGAGAGTTGGTCCGACAATTCGGCATTGATCTTGAAAAACTGTTTCACCGCCTTAAGAAGAAGGATCCAAGCTTATACAAGAACCCAGAGATGACGATACAAGAGCAGTTTGTTGATGGAATCGAGGCCGAGGGGCTTCACCACTCCTGCAGAGATCTACTGGACTGTAGTCCATTGATCAGCGATCTTAAAGATTTGGCTGTAAAGAGGGCAGAATGGGAGCAAGCACATCATGATGTGGCCAGGCAGAGAGGAACCACATCAGCCATACAGACGAGGGAGGACGACCCTTTAAAAAGGTTGGAAGATCAGATGAAAATTGTACTAACCAAGCTGGATTCCCTTCAGCCATGCCCCCTCAGGTGATGTCTCCTCATTACCCCAGTCAACAGCCCCATTACACATCTGTCCACCCATTCAACGCCACAAGCGCGTCCCACGGAGCAGCCATTGGCTGGCAAAACAACACACCAAACTTTCAGACAGGTACACAGATGACCCTAATGTGCTACAACTGTGGCAAACCGGGTCACTTCTCCCGGGACTGCCTAGCCCCTCGTCATGGACCCCAGAACAACTATCAACTCACTCAGGCCCACCAACTGCCAACCACCACACCACTCAAGGCACATCTAATAACATGACGGGAAACTAGCTCCCTCTACTGTTTTGAGCCAGACAGCGAGGGGAGGTGGGGGGGGGGGGAAGAAGGCTCTCTAGACTGTGGAGCAAAGGAATTTACAGGCAAGGCAGCAGCTGAGTGTTTTATTGAAGATACATCGTTTAGCGGGCAACAGGTGCCTTGCCTTCTAGATACAGGTTCGATGGTCACTTCAATTAAGAGTGATTACTATGATAAACATTTGAAGGTGCGGGGTTTCCAATTGAGTAGCGTACCCAAGTATTTCCAGCTTCTGTCGGCAAATGGCACTGCTATACCATACACAGGCTTCTTCGAGACTGACATCACAGTGTTTGGAAACAACATTCCAGTCAGTTGCCGTGTCACGCGTAGCTGCTCTATTTTCTCGTCCAGACAACTGACGCAACGCGAGGCCAGCGAACGATGGCCGTAAGAAGGGCTTCCGAAAATTCGCAATTTTCATGGCAAACTGCAACCGATCAAGACAAACAAAGCTGTCTCAGGTAGTTAAAGACCTACTAAATACATCTATCGAGGTATTTTTTTTCTAAAAAAAAAAATGATTTCGATGAATTTTGACGATATTATATCACGGACAAGTCGACTAAAATTTATGTCATGAAATTTCCGGTTTTTTTGACAACGACGAAAGTCTCCGAAATGTTAATGTACTCAAAGGAAAGAATGAACCTTCATCTACAAAAAATCTCATGAACGTGATGTCCTTAATATCTTAAGAATTTGATGTACACCTAATGTTTCCAACAACTTCCATTTTTCACAACGCGAAAAGATCGTCGCCATTGCATGCATCGTCAAAGCACAGAGCAAGGAACGCAAACATGGTATGACCTTGTGACCCACTGATTGGTCGAGCTTGAGATGGCCTGCTTAATATTCATAAGTCATTCATTGCACGTTCGCACGTGCTTTTCAGGCCGTTGGCCTACTTACGTTCGTTTACACGCGTACATGTAATTGCAAGTCTCCTGCACGTGTTTCACATGAAAAAGAAGCGTATACATTGTACTTTCCTCTATCTACTAAGCCTTGCCATTTCTTTTGGCTGTTTTTAAGAATTGAATGTACACCTAAAAACTATCGGCCCTCGCTTTTGTTGATATAAAATATGATTTTGTTTGACATGCCGTAATAACACTTTATATTTGTCAAAAGCAGTACATTTTTTGTATCAAAATAAAGCACACGATTTCAACTTTTCACTTATTTAGCCATCTTGGCCAAACAGTGCACGTATCCAGGTACTTTTTGTGTTTTCTGTAGTCCCAAATACATCTCGCAAAATCTCGCGTACGCTTTTGGGCCACGCGTGCGCGACCTCGGGACAAGAAACTGAGGTCAAACAGGGCTGTGTGCGTGACACTGACTGATTCTGTCCAGGATGGTACTAGTCATTGAGGACTCTCGGGGCATCCGACTCAACACCAGGTATTCTTGGAATGAATGTACTCAAAGAGTGTTTGAACAAGCTAGTAACCCCTCAGGGACAGATACATCTGCAGAAATCTAGACCACGTGACAACAGTCAAGTGTGGGAGAGAGCCATGCGTATGGTGACTAAACGTGAAGAGTTTACATCAAATCAAAACCAAATCAGCAGAGCAGATCTCCTTTGAGGTCCAGCAGTAATAGTACCCGCCAAACAGATGATTATTCTCCAGGCCTCAGCTTGCCCCAGTCCAGAAAATATGGCATATGACGCAGTGTTGGAACCCGGTGAGGCATCTAACCTACCTAGTAGTATTCAACTTAACAGATCATCAGTCAATGTCCGTGGGGGCAAGTTCTTAATCCCCGTCGCTAACGACACAGATCAAGATGTTCTCTCACCAGGGCATACCTGCATTGGCACTCTATACAACGGGGAGCCCATAACTCTGGAATGTGAAGCCGATGAACACAGCGAAAGACAGAGTTCAGCACATTCCGCTTTTCTGTCTGCATCTAACAGTGTTTCAACGCCATCATTGCTGCACACTCTGGAGTTGGGAGACAGACTTGTGCACTTGATGAAGCTGCCAGATTTGAGGAGCTACTCCAAAAATATGACGGTGTGTTCTCCAAGGGCGGTAAAGACATAGGCTACACTGAGACTATCAGACATCAAATCGATACCGGCGACACTCCCCCATTAGACAGAGATACCGCTCACTCCCGCCATCACAGTACCAAGAAGTGAGGGCACACATACAAAAATTGCTTGAGAAGGGGATCATTCGAGAGAGCTCCAGTCCTTGGGCCTCCCCAATTGTGGTTGTGCGTAAGAAAGACCAATTCGCTTGTGTGTAGACTACAGGCGGCTGAACAGGTGGGCAGCAAAGAGTGCCTTCCCACTGTCACGTATCAATGAATCCTTTCAGGCCCTCGGAAATGCAAAGTACTTCAGTGTCATGGATCTGACGTCTGGATTCTACCAAGTAGCCATGGAGGAGGGTGATATCAAACTTGCTGAGCTGGTTCAGCAGTCTGTGTCATTTGAGGTGGGGGAAATGGTGGCTCTAGATAAGTTACAGATTGGGGACCTTTCTTGTTAAGGCTGGGGAAATGAAAGTAATTATGTGCATGGCAGTTAGTACTATAGTGTAGCATAAAGTACTCTCTACATTATAAATAAACTTGATTATAACATTCATACCAGTTGGAGACCTCAGCAGTCTTTGCAGGAAACTTATGACTGAATCTCGGACTGCCCATTGCGGGTCACACATCCTCTTTGTCACAGTTTCTGCTAGAGTTATTGTAAGTTCCGTATGCTTTAGCTTCACAAAACACGTAGGAAGCAACAGGCCAAGAACATCAAAGCACTTGGAGACAACCTGGGGAAACAATTACAATCAAACTGTTGATTGTTCTTTGATATATTTCATCCAGTGAAATAAATATAAATAAGATGATCTGTTTCTGCATTGGAATTTGCCACAGTTGACAGCATTGGACAATGGTTTTTTTAAATGTGACTAACAAAGCCTATTTCCGTGGAGATGCTTGGAAGTGACTTTCAGTAAACACAGCCTTCATCCATTCCATAAACACTGTACACAAGAAGCACATGAAAGAGCAAGGTCACTCAATGAAAACAAATTGTTTAAAATAGTCATGCAACAACAGGGATGTCCATACATGTTTTGATTGACGAAACGTCTAAACTATGAAATACACTTAAGGTTAACCTTTTTCCCCTGCTATAGGCAGTAAAATGTTTCTGCAACAGTTTACCCTAAAAGGGTCGGTGGGGGGGGGGGGGGGGGATTCTGCCCTCCCCCTCCACTTTTTTAACAATATTTTTTTCCAAACGCATGTTTCTTACCATGAGCTTTCATTACTTTCTGGCTTCAAGACTGGCGCACGTTTTGATATCAAATTTATGAGAATTTACCCATAGGGTCACCTTGCTACACTTCATGTACCTTGTACAATTGTAACTTGTGAATCGAAATTCTTAGATGTCACAAATTTGGTCTCATTTTGGAAATACACTAGGCGTATGGTAGTTTAAAATCACAAAAGCCAACGCTAAAGGGTTCAACGACAAAGCATGCAAGCACTTCCAGTTTGTTCCTAAACAGGTTATTACAAGGGCAAGAGAAATACCCTTTTATAGTGAGGTACCTTAGTGACAAAAATGCCAAGGATCGTGACACGGTGGACAAAAGCACCATTTTTTCACCAAAGCATCTCCATGGTATACCTTTTTCGAAAAAAAGACGGACGCAAAAAATTGGATGATGGGAAGGGCACAGCTAATTATTACATGAAATATATATAAATTGATAATATCTTCTGAACTACTAGCATCACAACAACAAAAGTCGCATCAAATGAAAGGGAACAACAAGATCTTTCATTTAAGTGGTATGTCAGGGGCGTGGAATGTAGTAAAGGGTGGTTTTTGGGGCCAAAAAGCACTTTTTTTTGTAAAAAAACCCCGATTTTTGGCTAAAATCATGTATTTTTGTTTGGCACCTTGTTTAACATGCAAATCGTATGTGTTATTGTGAGATTTTGTTTTTAAGTCAGAGAAAAAGGTTCAAATTCTATGCCAAAAGAGTTTTTGCAATTGATTATAATTTTTTGTAATTGATTATTAGTATCTTAAATGCTTACACTTGAAAAACATATACATTGATAATATCTTCAGAACGACAAGCATCACAACAACAAATGTGGTATCAAATTAAAGGGAACAACAAGATCTTTCATTTGAGTGGTACATCAGTGGGATGGAATGTAGTACAGGGTGGGTTTTTTGCCAAAATAACCCTTTTTGGTAAAACAAAACAAAATTGGTGCTTAAATCATGGATCATTTTGGCACCTTGTTTTAACATGCAAATTGTAAGTGGTATTGTGAGTTTTGGTTCTTAAGTCAGAGAGAATGGTTCAAATACTATGCCAAAAGAGTTTTCGTAATTGATTATTGGTATGTTAAATGTTTAAACTTATTCCAAAGATAGGCGGACAAAAAAAATGTAACATAAGTTACAGTCGGGTGCCTATCCCAGTGGATCTCAGTTACAGATTCATCACATGTCTCGTTGTCGAGCTTGGAGGGGTTGGGCAATCTGCCGGGTGCATCTGCGATCACCATCATAGCACCAGGTTTGTAGACATCGTCGAAGTTGTATCCTTGTAGCTTAAGACGCTGCAAGCGGTGTGGTGTACTGGCTAGGATTTTGCGCCAGATAGTAACCAATGGTTTTAATGGTCAGTGACAACAATGAAGTTGGAGCCGAATGAAATTGCAGCAGTGTCACAGCTTCCCTCTCGATATTCAAGAATATGCTCTGGGAAGAGGATCTATAGGCTCTTTGAGGAAAATGCGATGGGTTTACCTTCCTGGGTGTTGCCCAATCCTCTTTCAGATGCATCTACTTTGAGGATTGTTTCTATACCTGTTTGTCAGAGAATCGTAGCCTGGACTGAGTTCAGGGTTGTAAAAGAAGCTTGATGGTCCTCTTCCCAGAGAAATGGTACATCTTTTCGAAGAAGATCGCTGAAGGGAGCAACTTTGTCTGTGCAATTTGGGGTGTAGTGTGAGACATTGTTGACTATGCTAAGGAACCAGCAGTTTCCATCAGGGCGATGAGACATTCGGCCGCTCGTCATGCTCTTCAAGGGAGACCGAATACTGCAATGTCGTCACGGTGATTGTTCCAACGCATCAAGGCATCTAGCTTATTTTGCCATCAATATTTTTTGGGACCATTATCTTGGCTTACTGAAGCCGATGAATGGGCAACGAAAGCTGTTAACAACCAAATTGTATGTTGTCAGTTTTTCAGACTGCCCTAGATGAGCAGACAATACCCTGCTTTTGACGTCTAGCTTGGAGGAGAACCTTTCCAGTGCAAATTCTGGCTTGAGCTCCTCAAGAGTGGGGATCTTTAGAAAACATTATGTGTTTAGCTGCTTGGGATCTGGACACATCCGGAACGGGCCGTCTTTTTTGGCAGTTGCTGTGATAGAGCTGCACCCGTCCGTGTGATGGGAGACTTTCCGTATGACCCAGCCTTTCTCAGTCTTTTTCAGCTCGGCCTACAGTTTTGGTTTTGCATGAAAGCTGCACCTATGTGGCGGATTTATGTGGGACTGAGTATCTGGCTTGAGGTGTAGGAGAGCGCGTATCTAAGTCGTCGAAAGTATCAAACTGCATTGGGAGCCGGTCCTTCAGGTCTTGTATGTCTCTCACCGGAGTGGTAGTGGTCAGCCCTTTGGTTCCTGTGGGGGCCTGAGGCTTTGGGGGCAGTGTGCCAGTGTAGGTTTTGACCAAGTGTAGGGTGCGGCTCGTAGGGTGCGGCTCGTATAGTAGGGAACCCATTGATAGCTGGTCCTGGCACATTGACCACTTGGAACTTCTCACGTTGCCAGTCATTCTGCTGGTATACCCATAAGGTGTATCGAACCATGGCAGATGATTCCGGAAACATTATATGCCTTTATTGGGAGGGTTGGTTTCTCCAATTGTCTCCGTATTTTTGACGCATCAACGAACTGGTAAGGTATTTACACTCGAGTTTGTGTTAACCTCGTTGCAGACATGTTGCTAGAGATGATCCGGACAGATCACATCCAGTGTTCGGCGGTGCTCAGCTGTTGTACACATCATATGTCCGATGCTGATAAGGTAATGGAGTTGAATGTTTTGATGACTTGGAGACATCCAATCTTCTGCAGTAGCCTGAAGAGGCCTTTTCTACTGACGAAGGTCAAAGGGTTTCATCGGCTAGGTCGGCGGTCAGTACATCGGTCGTCGCTGCTCTCGGCACTTCTCCTGGAGCTGCCGTAAGTCGAAGACAATGGAGAAGATAATGTCGATCTTTAATCTTTCAGCTCTGAAACCGCACTGCCTCTCAGGGTATATGCACTCAGCTAGCAGCTGCGATCTGTTCAGCACTACAAGGGCGAAGGCCTTCTTAACGATACCGAGGAGGGAGATTCCTCGTGTTGCACAGATCTGGGATTGACGTCCTGGCGATGTTTGAAGTATGGGCGTCTTTTTTGCCTTGAGTGGTGGATCTGTTTATTTGGGAGTGGTCTGTATTACAGTCAGCGCTGCGTGTGATGAGAACGCAATTTCGTGAGGGTCTTCCTGTGATGATGAGATGAAGCTGAAGCCAGTGACGGGATCTGAGGTGCTTCTGCAGCCTCTGCCCATTCTCAGTTAGCTTGCCAACGCCAACGTGAGCGATGCAGCTGGGCCAGGAGTTGTGGTCAGATCCCACTCGGGCGTTGAATTCGCCAAGGAGGTACAGTTGTTCTACGACAGGGATACCTCTGATGGTGGTGTTGAGTTCCTCGTAGAACTGGTCCTTAGAATTTTATTGGAAGAGGCTAATGTTGAGACGCTGTGCTATGCAATGGAGTATTTCAGTGGAGATAGGGCTGCTCATTTCTCCATTTCATCCCAGCACATCCTAACCGATTTGACCCCAAATGGATTAGGCTTACTCCTGACTTATTCTGATTGTTTATGGGCGATTCCACGACAACTTTACATTTTCAGGCACTTTGAGACGTAAAAAGGAGTCTCACCACTAAATGCATTGGTTTCAAAAATCAATTTCAACATAATGAATACAAAGTGGTAAGCTTTTATTTGTGGGCTGTTGCACAACAGTTTAAGCTTTTTTACTTTCAATATATAAAAAGAACGTAGGCCTATGCATGATTTGTTGGAGGTCTTGATTCAAAAGTCTCCTCAAACTGGGCATGCATTGATAAAAGTAATGCACACCATCTATTTGCTGGTAACTAAACTATGTATTAGGCCAAAAAAAAAATGATAGTAAACTGTTCTGCTTCTGGTTTCCCTACCTACCCTATTCCGACAGCCCCTACCCTAATTTGTTTTATGGGAAAAATGAGAAAAAAAAGAACCCAAAACAATCAATTTCTCCCTTTCACCCTTGACTACACGCAGACGCCTCCATATATGATTGTACACAAACAAAAAATCCTTACCTACCAACCCTGTTTTCAAATGCCATGTAATGGGAAGCAGAACTATTTTTTGGGCCTTATCAAGGTAATACAGGAAATCTTAAGTCCCATTTTGGCCCATACCCTAAAATGGTGATAACTTTCCTTACGGTAACTGCAGTTTTTCCACCTATCTAAGGAACAAGTGTTAGCATTTAAGATACTAATAATCAATTATAAAAAAATAATAATCAATTGCAAAAACTCTTTTGGCATAGAATTTGAACCTTTTTCTCTGACTTAAAAACAAAATCTCACAAAAACAAATACGGTTTGCATGTTAAACAAGGTGCCAAACAAAAATACATGATTTTAGCCAAAAATCAGGTTTTTTGACCAAAAAAGTGCTTTTTGGCCCCAAAAACCACCCTTTACTACATTCCACGCCCCTGACATACCACTTAAATGAAAGATCTTGTTATTCCCTTTCATTTGATGCGACTTTTGTGGTTGTGATGTTTGTAGTTCAGAAGATATTATCAATTTATATATATTTAATGTAATAATTAGCTGATGACGTCATAATGACGTCATACATTCCCTTCCCATCATCCAATTTTTTGCGTCCGTCTATTTTTCGAAAAGGTATACCATGGAGATGCTTTGGTGAAAAAATTGTACTTTTGTCCACTGTGTTACGATTTTTTCACTAAGGTACCTCACTTATTAACCAGAGCCTACATATCACCAACTCACAGTAGGGTCTGACTCTGGATTTTTTAAAACCGCAATCAGCTGAAGAAACAAGGTCATCAAAGATGCTTCTGGCAACTTGGAGTTACACGCATCTGCACAGAATGATAAAACAATCTCATTGTGGGTAAAATTCACTTCTTTCAATGGTAAAGGATCCCAACACATCAGAAAAATAACAAAAGTTAACTTCTGCTACTTACTTAACCAGTTTGGGCCTGCATTATTTCGGCAAGATTGGAACAGGGCGCATTATTTTTCACTCGACCCCAACCCAGGCGGGTTGAAGCCATCACCCTTGGGCAGCGCACTCATATTTCTGGCCTTGCTCGCTGTGAGCAGGTCGCTGACAGATATTTCCATTTTTGCTCCCTGCGTGTGTTTATCCGTCATCCGTTGCGAATACCGCAAAACCTTTTGCGTGTATACACGTCATCCGGCACGAACTGGTTAATCACTCTACAATGCTAAATATCAAAGCCGGCTATATATCTAATTTTTAATGCAAAATGGTTTTGGGGAAGTATTTTAAAAGTACTGCTCCCTTGGCATTAACTGATTTTAACTACCATGGTTTAACGTGCCAATAAGGCCAAACAAAAAAAATGGTGTGTTTACGGTAACGGTCTGAAAAAAATCCAGGTAGGTAGGTAGGGAAAGAATTTTTTATTTTTTTAATTTTTTTTTATTTCAGTTCTGCAGGCTCATGCGTGTTCTTTCGCACAATATTTGTATAAAAACATTATTCAAGCATTCAAGATACTCAATCGATACATTTCATTCCAAATTAATTCGTTCTCTCCAGGATTTTTTCAAACCTGTGGGGGAAGTTTTGCTGTGATTCAACAACCTGCGAAGCCATGGCATGGGGTTCGGGGCCCGCTTTTTAAGGGCCCCGAAAAGTTTTGAGAGAAGATCTTGTAGGCCCCTTTTTTTGTAATCAAAGAAAAAAAATCAAAATTACATTTACAAGTAAGTTTCAAATTAAGAAATTAAAGTGAAAAAAAATCATTTTACTTCCGATTACATGCCTTTTAAAATAGCATCAATAGGTCGGAAAAATTATTTCGCCAATTTTTGGGGGGTGCTGATTAATGGGGCATCATAGAGCAAGGAATCATGTTTATTTTGTGCCTGGATTATTTTCATTTGCGCCACGAAAATTATCAAGACTGGCCATCAAAAGTGATTAAAACTTGCCTCACCTAATAAAAAATATTTTTAAAGGTGGGTGATTCCACTATATGCTTAACATACATCACGGCCGCTGGTGCCGCCGACATTCAGTCTGGCCAGCCGTACATCGCGCCATGCACACGGCGCAGTATCAGTGTGCATTACTGCACTGTGTACCGCCCATCCCACGTGGCCGAAAATCTTGCACTACTGCAGAAACACGCTACGATGTTACGCCACAAGTTCGAGCTTTGCAATCTCGTCATTTTAATGGAAAACACATACACAGAAAATAAAGATCACGTTCTGTGAATTAATTTGCAGAAATTCTCTTTCTCCACCGATGTTTGTTTGGTATTTTACGATCCAACTTCGGGCGACGGCACAACATCATCGTGGTACGACGTTTGTATAGGCAGTAGTCACTGGTTCCGGTCCTTCCTATATAATATTGATTCCGTTAGCACGCAAAGGGAACCAATGTACCATGCTGTATGCGCTGCATGCCTGTCAGCTGGCAGTCGACAGAACCCGTCATTGTGTGCATTTTGATCACACATGCATCAGAAAAACAGGATTTTTGTCAAGATTTTGCATGTCAAGATGAAATAATGGCGTATGTAACGATAATATTGTGCATTTTAATGGCGTGAATAATAATTATATTGTGCATATCAGCGGCTGAAAAATGTGATCGGCATTTTTGTCAGGCCGATTCGCAGTACCCACGTTTGTACGTGGGGAGAACCATGCCGTCCGTCGGCCAGGCGCACCAGTTCACCCCGATGCTTTTGTGCAAAAATAATCGTACTTCATGTAATTTGAGAATTCAAGTTTTGAGATCGTCGCGATTTTCGCACGTTTAACACAGGTAAGTTTGTGTCAAATCATGGTCAGTTTCAAGTGTGGAAAATGGTCTATGTTCATGGAAAATAATTAAAAGTACTTGAAATTTTTGAAATTTGTTCATTAAAAATGATCAATATCAACCTTCAAAATGGCAATAAAAAGTTTGAGGTCAGCAATTTGGCCGAAAAAATTCAAGGTCGGTCGGGTTACCGTAAACACACCATTTTTTTTGTTTGGCCCAAGTCAAAAAGATAACTGCAGCGAAACCTTTTGATTACTTTGAGCTTTCCTACCAGACATGAGACTGAGAGGTTTCAGTTCTCTGTTGTGAGGCGCATGGTCCGCCCTATACATGCATCCTACATGTGCTCGCAAGGCAAAGTATAACACCGTATCTGAGATAATTCGTATCCAATGCCGTATATATCAGTGTTGTAGTCGAGATCTGAAAGCTCGAGACCGAGACCGAGACAGAGACCTGAGGACCGAGACCAAGACCTCAGGGTTCAAAGTCGAGACCGAGACCATAGACTAATTAGCAAATAGTAATGAGAAATATATATTTATTATAAACAACATGGTGTAAAAACTTTTTTTCTGAATGCTAAATGAATTCAAATGTTGTCACAGTGTTACCCACTTTGAATTTTAAATTTCAACCATTTGTCAGACTGTTTGAAAAGAAAACTAGCAGACACATGATTGTGTTTCACATATTTTGCATTTCTCCAAATTTATTTTGTATTTTTATTTTAGGCCTATTAAATTAGGCCACTTTCCACAGGCATTAAAAATTAAAAATTAAAACACCATGAAAATAAACATTACTGAAGTGAAGAATGATAAAGTCATGCTTGGTGTTTTTCATACTGTGGTAAAGTTGGTATCCATATCAAAACGAAAGAATGTGGCCTCCTAGTCCTACTCCTTCGTGTCCACATTTGTGCAGCAGGACGCGACATGTGCGGTGGCCCAGCCGCAGCGACTCGGACTTACTTTGCCTTATAAACTCGTCTGAGGTGCCTCGTAAAAGCCAAATTTGTGCCAGCCCTCTCTGTGAGCTTACTCTTGCAAAATCTGCAGATCGCAGAGCGCTTCAAATTGTTTGCCTTCCGGTCGTGGAATTTAGTGTGATCTTTAAAACCAAACTTTATCACAGCAGAGTGTGCTGACATGTTGCGCTTGATCAACTCAATGTGGTACGCACGCATAGCACATGCGGTACAGTCCATTGTACCCAAGTACCGCAAGGGAGATTGCGTTACTAGAAATGCGGTGACATGTGGGTACCAGACTATTTGATTTTGTTCCTCCGAATCGATACCACCGTCTATCGAATCTTTCGAAAGTAAGGTAGATATGGTCAGATCATATAAATTTATTTGGTTTTTTTGTGGTTTCCCCAACTGAACAATAAGGTCTCGTATGCTCGAGACCCCAATAGATCTCGAGACTTTTGCTCCGAGGTCGAGGTCGAGACCGAGTTCTTTGAGTCAAGACCTTAAAATTGTCGAGATTAACGAAAATCGGTCTCGAGACCGGTCTGGATACCGAGACCTGCCTCGAGACCTACATCACTGGTATATATGAAGTGAACAGTCATTGAACAGTCATGTTTATAAAATGGATTTTTTTTGTAGCCATTCTAGACCAATGAAGTAACAGTAGCCAAGACATGATATAACAACACATATTATTATACCTAGATATCTTTTAAATGGTGCTTACCCTCAGTTGTTGATGCCACTGTTGTCATTGCTACACCTAATGCAGCCTTTGTAACTTTGATAGATCCCCGTAAATGACACCTCATCAGTGAATCAGTGATGACTTGATGTGACCTATGACCTAGGGTCAAACTCAGTATGTAAGTTGTTTGGTCCACAAGGTTGGTGTGCTGGCTTATGACATGATACAATCCCTGCAGAAACAATATGCAAGTAATAAGGGAATCATGTCAGGAATCCTCTTTAAACAAAACACTGGAGCTGGCCGGTTATATTCTGGTTTTTGATCAAGACTGAACCTGGCTTACTGATCTCTCTTATCTCAAGATTTATCTCCTTAAGGCAGTTTAGCACCTGATGAATGCCTACCACCAGCAGGGAACAATTAGTACCGCTTGACTGAACGACTTGTTAGGCATGCCTGATTCATTCCTCAGAGGCCTAAACGCACATGGATTTTTCATAAATTTAATATCAGTCACCAGACTAATGACACTGAATGAAGAGGTCAGTCATCTTTTCAAATAGTTGGACCATGGTTGGACATGTACCAGTCTAGTCTTTAGCCTCATTTCGAAATCACTTGACTTCCCTCTCATGTGCAAAATATTGCAGAAAAGTCTCCTTTAAAACTTGAATTGAGTCTGCAAACTTGGTTGTGAAAAACTGAGGACTTTTCTTTGCCAATGGAATTTTTGGAGAAATTTGCTGGCTAAAGAGTGAGTAAAGTTGGCTTGATTTAGGGGTCGTTCAGACACCGTTTTAAATTCCCTTAAAACACCGGTTGAACTCGATTCAGTGTACGTAACTTTCTTGCTAAACGATGTCTGAACGCTTTTTTATTTAGACAGAATCGTGTTAAACTCGAAGATAAAACGACAACTTAAACCCCCTCGAAGGGAGGGTTTAGTGAATAACCAGAACGAGTTTATCTCCCAGTACGATGTCTGAACGGTTTTAGCTAAAACACTCCCCGTTTTAGCCAGCGCAGTGACCCGGAGTTACGTAACGCCTTCTCCATGACGCGCTTTTCTATTAAGCAAACAATGTCCTAATTCTCCTACTGTTAAAAAAAAATCAAATTTCAAGTCCAATTTCCGCAAGTTTTCTGACCACATGGTCCGAGTTTCACATCGTGCTCACTCGCACTCGACTCACGATGCGATGACAAACGTGTAGATGCCAACGCAACAACCGCTAACCGGAGCATAATTATCATAATACACTAATATATTTAACTACCAGGAAAACCTTGGCGTTGATTGGTCAATATTGCAACGTTAACATCACGTGTATTTTCACGTGACTGACATGTTGTGCGGGCAAGTTGATGCAGTAAACCTTGAGTGAAATCTGTTCAATGACGTCTTGTTTCGAACACTGGTTTTCAAACAACTTTTCAGAACATTTTTTATGTCTTTTTGCACCACGAAAGGTACAGAAAATAGCCCCCAAAATGTAAACACAAATGGTGTATATGTAAGGCCGATGTACGATACTTCCAAAAAATGGGGAAATCGCCGCGGCGGACAAGTGACTGTCGTCATGTTTACCGGCATGCCATGCTACATGACCGGCAGAGGCTGCGATGTCAAACACGACATGGCAACACACATCACACGGTGAGGGGCTCAGACCACGTGTAGCGAACTGTACAAATGGAAGAGTGAAGGCTCTTTTTAGCGCGCGTTTTTTGCCGAGGCGGATGTTCTAGTTCTACGCGACATTAGAAATTGAGATAAACTACTTCGAGTTGAACTTGCTACACTTAAAACGATGTCTGGACGATCGGTAGTTTTATTTTTTACGACGGGCCCCCAGTGGTGAGCGACCGTTTTAACTTTTACCGTTTTAGCTAACACGGTGTCTGAACATGGCCTTAGTTTTGCACATTTCAGAGGCCTCCTGTGGTGTAACTAATTGCCTTAAGGGATTAACCAGATAATGTTACACTGGGCTTAGTCAAAAATAAACATCGAATTAAATCCTGGTATAAAAAGGGACCCAGGCTTTTCAAAGGGGAAATCACCTCATGGTATGTTATCACCTTACAAAGTGTATTAATTTCTTTACCAGAAGTCTCATGGAAATGTTCAATCTGTTTGTTAATTTTCAAGAGTAAATAGGATGATTTTCATATTCCAATTTACAAGCAAAAAAGTTGAGTAATATAACAAATTCTGAGAAACATTAATGTCATTTTTTTTCTAACAGCAAATGTTAATTTGCTTTCAACCGAGTAAACTGGACAAAATCTGACTTCAAAGACTGTGCTGCCCACACTGAGAAATACGTGACACTGAGAAACTGTTGAAAACATGATGGCACTCAGCGCCACAAGTCTTACTGTGTGCATAGCAGCATCCCAAATTCTCAAAAAAATTATTTTGATCAGAAGTTAAATTTTGTAGAAAGGGAAACTTCAGCTCAACCTAAGCACGACTCTCACAGTGTAGGAGTTGGTCATTTGGGAAAATGTTAGTCATCACCTCAGAAACTGGTTGCTAACATCCGGTCCCACTTGCAAATGTGTTGCCAACATTGGCAAGCATGAGTCTTGTTTATTTACATATTAACCCTTACCCTACTAGACCCTCCAACGCATGCCAATATGTGCCTCAAGAAAATCTCCTATGTTTTTTGCATGGCCCTCCAATATCTGCCATGTCATTTCAAGGGTAACTGGACAGGCACTCCAATACATGCCACAGAGAACAATGAGAGTCCTCTGATAACAAAGTGAGTGCCCCCAGCTGGTCAGTATCAGGCACCCTCCAGGGCCTCCAACTCCTGCCAATTGGAGCCTACACAGTCAAGATAGTTTATCCTCCAATTAACTGCAGTTGGAGGGCATTGGCATAACCAACTGACATGCAGTAAACTACCCTCAGAGAGTAAGGGTTAAGACAGGGATGTACCCCAGGTCTTGATACTTACCCTATCAATCAATCTTTGCATGGCAGACAATGAATGACACAGAAGTGTTAGACACTGACATTTATGTTGCATCATTTCCTTAAGCAGATATTCTTTGTAGATACTGAACAGTGAAGATGATCCTGGGATGGTTGGATGACACTCACTTGGGATGTGTAAGCAGTCTACAGGAAGCATCACAAGTCTCAATAAAGATGCACCATCTTCATTAGACAGTTGGAACTGGGAACTTTGTCTGCAAAGGAGCAAGAAATCACTAATATAGAGTAACTCTGCTGAAGTTACCCTACATGAGTGATCTAGTCTAGACTACACTTAGGACTAACTTACATTTACCTTCTAGTCAACTATTTGGAACCAGCATCCCTTCACTGGTACCCAATGTGCTAGTGACTTTTATCTCTCTCAAACAAATTCGGGAAGGGAACACAGATGCCACAAAGCACTTAGGTAGCTTACTGCCAAGGGCCATGCACAGACATGCCATGAACAGGTTCCATGCACATGCTAAATTGTTGACCCTTCCAACGAGAGCTCAAAGACATTATGGATTGGCTAGCGGGTGTGAGTGAACAGCAAACCTGCATGATAAGATTGGACATCAAAAGCTGCACAAGCCTAAGCCAGTTCAGTCTGTTGAACTCAGGGAGGGATGGCCCTGTATAACCCATGGTTGTGAGCAATGTACGCTTCCACTATGCCTTAGATCTACAGGCACTTTGCCAGCACTCACTGTTAAAACACTCATTTAATTGACAGCTCATTCAACTTTTAAACAAATTCTGATTTGATTCGGACTTGATCCTAAGTAACAAGGGAAAGGAGATTTGCATGGTACTTGTTAGTGTGTTGAATGGATCCTAAACAACAGCCGCATTATGGTAAAACACTCGGCTTTTCCGCATCTAATTAAAATGTCTAAGAAGTCTGAATATGCAAATGATCTATACCAGGGTTAGTGTCCGACGGCAGTTAGTGGGAGTGAACTGCTCAACTCCATGAGGACAAGATTGCACAAGAGCTTCCGTCAGTTGATAGGTGATGTACAGACAAATCTTATATGATGGATCAACCACCACATAGCCAAATTGTTGATTAAAATTGCTCTAAGTTAAGATGTAATATGACTGGAGATAGAATTGTTATAACAGAAGTGGCTTGAGACTTGGGTTCTGTGCACCTTAGTGTTTGATTAGAAGTGGAGTCCTTAGCAAAGACACACTCCATTGTGCTTTGGCACACTGAACGAGTATACATGCAGGTGGTGGATGGGGAAAGCACATGTTCGTTCAGTTTGAATTTGAGTAGTGTTTAGAAGGCTCTCCTATGGTAGTACATTTTGCTCCTTAACCCTAACGTACCTAAATCCATCAAAATCCACCCCCCTGTTTCGGGGGATTTCGGCGGATTCAGGATACCTCCATATTGAACAAACTTGGGAATTTTGATGGACTCAGGATTCGAAGCCTAGCGGAACTGGCGGATTTTGATGGATTCAGGATACCTCCATTTTGAGCTATTGGGGGACTTTGATGGATTCAGGATCTCAACAGTTTTAACTCTTTTGCAATTTTTGTGGTCAAGTAAATACTGCTGGCACTAGCCCTGCCAAGTCTGTCACATACTGTACAAACATGTACACACATGTACTGGGTGGACTTGCATGTAGGGTCACGTGCTGGAGGAAAGATACAAATAATGAGCGAAAACGTGACGAATGCAATACCGTTTACGCATAAAGAGCACCATGTGCATCGCTAATGATTATGTGTGCGCATCGCGTAAATACTCGGTGCGCATTTCTAGCTTCGCGCGCGTTGAGCTAGGTCACGTGCTGGAGGAAAGCTCCATTACTTTACGTTAATTTTTTGCGCGCCTACGAGAGACAACCAAAATGGCGGAGATTTATCGCACAGTGAATGAGACACATGTGGACGCGCTGCCGATTTACGGGCTGAAACACGCGCTAATGTCTTTCACACAAATTGTGTGCGCAAGACGTATTCACTTCTGTACTCCATGCTGGGGTCACCATTCATTGGTGTATTTTGATGGATCCTATGCAACAACACACATCAAAATTTTCATGCGAGCGTGGTATCCTGAATCCGTCAAAATCCACCAGAAATTAAGGTGATGGATTTTGAAGACTCTATGGAAAAACATGCTGTACTTTTTTTTATGCCACCATGGTATCCTGAATCCGCCAGAATCCATCAAGACTTTTGCTGGTGGATTCTGGCAGATTCAGGATACCTCCAGTATCTACACTGGGGGATTCTGATGGATTCAGGATACCAGCATTTTTTGCATGACAAAATTGGTGGATTTTGGCGGATTCAGGATACTTTCTAGTAAAAGAGCCCCAGGAGTTAGGGTTAATTATGTAATGAATGTGACCCAACAGATATATGCAAACTTACCCTTTCACCTTTGACAACTGTGTGTTACTGTAGAGGTCTGATGCTAGCTGAATAGAAGCTTTGAAGTGATGAATATTCATTAGTTTCACAGGAAGCCCAATCATAACAGCCACAAGCTTACTTCCTACATGTATATCACTACATGCATTTCTAAAGATAGAAATAAACGGAACTGCAAGTTATAAATGTTTTTTTTTCAATTTCGTAAATAGACCCAAGTTCTGCAACAGAACTGGAACCAACAAGTAAGGGCCATCTGGCCAAGATAATGTGATGATCCCCTTTGGCCAGCAACGTTGAATCAGTTTTAGCTCACATTAAGCTAAACCTCCTTTCAACAAAGATAATGCCCGTACTCCATAAATGTTTTCAAAATCTTACCTATCATGAAGTGCTTGCAGAAACAATGACATGAATTCAGCAATGGTGGTGCACATATCAAATGATGTATGGGATCTATGCTGCAGAAGTTCTGATATGATTGCTACTATAGAAATGTCTGTTAAGATAGCCTGGGCAATGAGCGGCTGTGACTCCAGTAGTCTGATCCATACTCCCATGATTGCAGTCCTCAGTTTAATTAGACAGTTGTTTGTACCCAATCTTGGTTGAACTGGTTTCACTGGAGTCATAATATCTGTCATCCTTTTCAGACATGTTTTAAGGTAGCTTTGGCAGTCACAAATTGGCTTCTTGATTGGCTTGTCATCACCATGATCAAGTCTGCTTCTTTTACACAGAGGTTCTTGATATTCCTCTGTATAATCCCGAGCCAACGCTGCTTGTTGACTGTTTGACATTTCCAAATTGTGTTGACAACTGGTGTTTGTATCTGTACTTTGCATCATGGAGTCAAGAGATGAAGGTAGTCGATTGCTACAGGTGTACATTGCTGTTATCAAATCAGCCAAGAACTGTTGTGCAGCAGAAATAACAAACAAGCAATTGTCTTCCAAAGATTGAAAAGTTATATCCAAGATACCTGAAACAAATAAAATTACATTAAACCAAAGAATCAAAACCAACAACTTTTTACTGCTAACCGTCATTATCAGAAATTCATTTTGACCATGCAGACCATAGTTTTTTGTTCCTCATAATGTGACCCAAAGTGACTTTAAAAGATAAACAAGAAAAGTGTTAAAAAAAAACAAATGCCCCGCAACCATGCTTATTTCCATGACATAACACCACTATATTAACATCAACTTACCTGGGTCACATGGAACGTTCATTGACATCGTTATTGTTTTCTTTAGGTTATATACACGTATGTCATGTATTGATGCCTATGATCCCATAAAGAATTTTTGTTTTTTGCTTTTCTGTTGGGTAGCCATTGTATGTGATTTAAGCAAACTGACTGGATATTTGCAGTCTTAAGCAAGACATTTTTCAAAGGCAAATCCTTTAACATAATCCTTTGAGCATTTACAAGGCGGAAATAATAAGAATTTTTAAATAATCAAAAGAAAATATGGTTATTTGAATAAGCTTGAGTTATCATCATGACATCATTTCTTTGGTTTTTAATAATGAGAACAGTTGGCCTATGGGGTCTGAAAGTGACTCAAAATCCTAAGAACAACCTACAGACCTGCATATATATACATGTACTACGGTGCAAGTCTCAAGTTTTAGTAATACATGCACATGTACATGTGTTTGTTTTCTGTTGTTTCAATTAAAAATATGACTGTCCAAGAAAAAAGGGTGGAGAAGCCACATTGATTATACAAAAAACATGTATAAACAGTGAACAGGCCCCCTAATATTTTAGTGAGTGACTACATTTGCACATGTATACTGGTTTGGTAAAAAAAAAAACCAATCAAATACATGTAAAATAAAATCCCCCCCCCCCCACAGAAGTGTTGTTGGGGTCTACGAACGAATACTTACCTGTAGAGCAATACTACTTATGCATATTCCCCCTACCGGCAGGCATTTTCCGCTAAGAGTTATATACAATAGCGCCCTCTGGCGCCCTACCCATAATACCCCGCGGCATGCGTGCCTCGTGAGCGTCCTCTTTTCTCGAGCGCTAAGTCGGAATACAGAATGTACTCAAGGCATCGAGAAGAGTGGGCTGGGGGAGGGATGCTCTACAGGTAAGTATTCGTTCGTAGACCCCAACCACACTTCTGTTGGGGGGGGGGGGGGAGGGGTGTCTACTTCACTCTACTTACCTGTAGAGCAATACTACTTATGCATAGACTAGCACCGTCAAGGCGGTGGGTCATGCGAGATGCTACTGTGCTTTCACAGGGGCCCGTCGCTCCACATGTGGGTGGACAAGGCAGCCCAAAAAGGTCGGCATGATAAAGACATTAGTCATAATGGTAGCCTCAACATGCTGACAGAGACGCGGTCCCCGATTTTGGGAATGAATTACAGCTCACCGATACCTACACATAAGAGTTCGGTGGGGCACCCAAAAAAAAAAAAAAAAAAAATTATCATGAAAGGCAAAACATCATGACATGGTACATATAGACACTATTATATGCACATGTACATGTACATGTACAGAGCTCAATAAAGAATCAGAGTTAGGAGACACCAATGGTGGGGAGGTCTCCGGTCTGAACATGTCTTGAGAACATGGTGGGGCTCAGTCAGTCGCCCTCAACACTGCTCTCCCATGCTCTGCCTTTTATTTTGCTCATGCGGACCGATCACACGGATTCCGCCGTTGATACGTCCGTGGTTTCATGGATGACCGTAGCCAACCTTCAGGCAATCTTGTCATGAAAGGCCTGCAGGTATGGTTGGGTTACCATGATAAATACATGTCATGAAAGGCCTGCCTGTATGGCAGGGTCGTCATGACAAAAAACATGTCGCGAGAAGCCTGCTTGTATGGCAGGGTTGTCGAGACAAATACGTGTCGCGAGAAGCCTGTCGGTATGGCAGGGTTGTCGTGACAAATACATTTGTAACTGCAAGTGACCAATTCAAAGCATCTCAGTGCAGCTAATGTACGACGTTAAAGTCATGATTGGCACCAAAAATTCTCCGTCTGGACAAGAATGATTTGATGCCCGGAACAAAGACGTCCGGAGGCACAGAGGGCTCCGACAGTCTTTAGTATTAATCCCTCCTTAGGGAGCAGACATCAAAGTCATGATCAGCACCAAAATTCGCTGTCTGAAACGGACAAGAATCATTTGATGCCCAGAACAAAGACATCCGGAGGCAAAGAGGACTCCGACCGTCTTAGTTCAAAAACCTTCCTTAGGGATCAGACGCCAAAGTCATGATCGGCACCAACATTTTCCGTCTGGAATGGACAATGATTTGATGCCTGGAACAAAAATGTCCAGAGGTAAAGAGGACTCCGACAGTCTTAGTTAAAAAACAAAAATCCTCCCGTAGGAATCGGATGGGCACACTGGGTTCCCACCAGATGTGGTCCGTCTCTTTTATACAGAAAACATTTCTTTACTACATGTATATCAAGAAGTAACAACTGCTTACAAAAAAGGCAACCGTAGGGACAAATGAAACAGATGTGAAATTGTTCACTGGTTCACAGAACTCTAAAGATCTCTATAACACTTTTGGATAAGAAGGTGTTGAAGAGGTCCTGCAATTCAGGGATGTTAAAACATCCCCTAAAGTTAACTGACATGGAGGTTCGACTGAATAACATTAAGTAATCTACTGTCGTGTTAGAAGTCCCTCAAGTGCAGGCTGTAAAAGCCGTAGCTTGTTTGAGAAAGGTCTGATGTGAACAGGAGAGCATTACAGCATCCAGAACATCAGGAGAAATTCCTGCGGAGTCGGGTGAAGGAAACCCAAGCTGTGTTGGAACAGAATATTGTTCTGCTCGGAAGAACATTTGTACCTCCAACTGGTGAGCCAAGGGAATGGTTATTGCCCTGGAAAACCAATCAATGGGGTCAACATGGAGTTAAGAAGAGGACCTTGTCATCCTTCTGCTCCAGTTGATTAAGTACCCGAGGGATAAGAGGAAGACGACAGGAAGGTGTATACAAGTAGCCTGTCCGTCTTCATCACCATCGTATTCGTGTGCCATGTGCAGGGGTCGGAAACCCTCAGGCATTAGCCTGGAAATCTGTGACTAGTTCATGAAACAAGTCAGATTGACATGTGGTTAGTTGTCCTTGCTTGGGAGAACGACCGTTGAAAGCAAGAAGCTATGAGGAAAACCCCAATGGGGTATTTCTCAAGTGAGTGTACACAGTTGTGCAGGCTGCCTGCCCACCTGGTCGTCGATGTAAACCACAACCGTGTCAAAGTCACATCGAACCAGGATCATCTGGCACAACACTGAATATAGAAAGTAACATCGCAGTTTATCCAAGACTGCCAGCATCTCAAGTATGTTAATGGAACTTGAATGATGCTCACACAAGGCCTCACCAATCCGCCACTAGATGCGGGTGGTGGGCAGTTAACTGGCAGGGTAACATGTCTGCCATGACAGTTAGTGAAGGCTGCAATCTGTGAGAGGCCCACCCTTGTGAGGTTGGCAACGTCGAACCACAGGAGGTGCTGCACAAGTCAGGTCATGGCCTGCACTGAATGCAGTGAGGCCTGGGCCGATACAAGCAAATAGGTGAATGCCACCAATCTTTGTTTCCACAGCGCAGTCATATCGCCTTTACTATCCAAGCAGAGGCCAGGAGTAAGGCGGAAAAAAGGCTGGATGGAGCCACCATGAAGTTGCAGCGAGAATCTTTGTTTGAAAACCGCGAAATTCTCAGTGCTCTGGCCTGAAAATGAGTTGCAGTTGTGTACCCTTCAGGCCAGGGCTCGTTCCCCATACTGATGTGTTAGACAGTCGACTAAATCTCATCAACATCTTCCCAAGGGAAATACAAGACGGGCGCAACACTGTGCTGGCCCGATGGTATTGATGTCAGCCGCAAAGTCTCTCTGACGAGCTTCTACGAGACAGATGGGTGGAGGTCGTCATGAGTCAGGTAGGTCACTTATGGAAGTCTTCAAAACAACTGAAGCCGAATCGAAATCGTTGTTACCAGTGAAGGCCTTATCCTATGTGGCATGGCGTACACAAAATGTTGCTAGCACGTCCACACAAAATCATCTGGGCAAACTTCAAGAGGTATGCAGTTGAGAAAACAAACAACTGTTTGTTCCTTACCTGCGCTGGCCTGACCGTGGGGTTGATGGCTATCTGAGATTGACCATCTGAGTACATGTAGTCGACATCGACCAATATGGATGTAAAGATCTTTGTCCGTTAAAAACTTAAAAGGTGGGACTCGAATCTTTGGCGGATGCCCTTTGACGGGAGAAACAGTTCATCAAGCATGTTACCCCAGCGGGCCAAGATTGCTAGGGTCTGCACTCGTGTAAAATTATAGAGTACCGAGTGCAGACCGTGAAATTGACAGTGAAAATAGCGGTCAATACGTCCACCAAGACTGTCGAGTCAAGATTAAAACATTAAACCTAATGTACTTCATGAGGATAAAGAGGGAGGCTGAACGCGTGTCGCCGAGCCCACTTTAATTCTACTGCAAAGTGTATTCAAGCTTCTGCGAGTATTATTTACGAAGAGCCGCTTGAATAATGGGGTCCCTCTACTGCTGGTAGCTTGTGCTTAGCTGCATTGAAGAGGGAAGATGTGACAAAAAAATACCAAATTTCGCTAACGGAAAACGGTAATGATCACATTATTGCTTGAAGAGCAGCAGGCAGTTTGAATACAGGCACAATCTTTCGAATGTGGTTCACAACATGCCTGAACTATGGAAGTATCAAAACACCCAGTCGCTTCATTGTGAAGAGCAGCAGTCATCTGATGAACCATCCTTATGCAAGAGTCGAATAGACCCCGTAAACGAGAACCTTAAAACATATCTTGAGGGACGAGTTGCACACGGCCACAGTCAGTTGTTGAACAACTCCCTCGGAGACAATGGACAGTGTACATACACAAGTAATGCACACATGTACATGTACCGTACATGTACATGTACATGAAAAACATAGCGAACTCAGTACAGCAAGAAACACCACTGCACGGCTAAGCACTGCGCGGCGTGTCCCATTGTCCTTGAGTCACCCAACCGTGATTAATGTAGAGGGCTACAGAGTTCACGGCTCGCAACTGAACTCAGACGGACGTTTCATTAACGTGCCCGCCAGGCAATACATGTACATGTATAAATGTATATGACCGATAATGAAGCCGAGAACAATTGCAGTGGGCCGAAAAACCGAGTCCTCATCCCGGTAGCGTATGCCGCGGTGGGATCGGTGCAATAAACTCGCCCGGATTAGAAAAAATAATGAAGCCGTTCCCGCCTGAGAAATGGACACCATTTTGTCCGTTGTCGATGTGTTTCACACTTGATCCAATGGAGGTATGGGGAACAAATGGTTAGATGTGGAGCCTGTCCTGCGCTTGATTTGAAAAATTTGTGATTGGGCGGAGAGGGCTCATCGGCGGAGGGTAATTTAAGTACCCATGTAATGTCCCTCTGCGGCAAACGGAGTTCCGTTTCCGCGATGGACAGCCGTTGTAACACGTCTGATTCTTCGTCATCATCGGATGAATCAGCCGAATGCGAAGGCCAAAATGACCCCGGTGACTGAGAGCCGTCTGGAGGGCTAGTTGTACAGAACCACGCGGTGGTGGCTGGGCAACACCCTCGGAGATAATAGACATACATTGTACATAATATTATGCAGATGGGTGAAGACTAAACACTAGCGGGGATCCTGGAGCACGGCCAACTGTGTGCGGTAGGTCCCGTTGTCTCTGGACCACGCGACCGTGGCCCACGGCCGGCGAATGTGAAGTTCCGTTCGCCGTAGGCTGGGCTTCCGGTATAGCGCGCAACCATGTGTGGTATACATGAACATGTACATGTATGAACATGTGTTTTTTCATTTTTGTACATGTACATGTACCTCGTTGTGCTTGGGCCACGCAATCGTGACCAATGAATGACGACTATGAAGCATTCACTGCAGATAAGGACTCCCGGAGCACGGCTATCTGTGAGCAGTATGTCCCTTCGTTCACGGGTCACCCAACCGTGACCGATGGTCGGAGACTGTAAGGTGAGACCAACAACCGAGGGTTGTGGGGCGTGGCTCGCCACTCCAGGGGGCCACCATTAGGGCCCGCTTGGCGTCCTGCAGACATAGCCGATAGTGTAGGTAAAATCGACTGAAATGCCTGCAGGAAACAGACCTCGAGATCGAGTCCTCACGTCAGGAGCGTTTGCCCCGGTGGGACCAGTCAGAGGAACCATCAGAATCTGAAGAACGGCGTGATCGGCGATCAGCTTTCTTCTTCTTGCTCTTCCTCTTTGAAGAACGGCCCCAGGGTGTGTTTGAATACAAGTCAGAAGACACCTGGGGCACCGGGACCCCCGAGCAACGGAAAAAAAACGATGACGAGAGTGGTCCCTCAGAGCGAGATGATGGGGGCCGTCGGTCCGGGATCCCCCCGGGCGACCGGCTCCGCACAGCTCATAACGTACCCGGCCGACAGTACCTCAGGCCCCGTGGGCCCACGGGCGCTGAGCGAGCGCTGGACTGTCCGGTAGCTCGAGCAATAGCCCATCCCGGCAACCAGGCGCGGTTCTACGGGGGGGGGGGGGGGGGGGGGGGGGGGGGGGGGGGGCTAGGGGGGGCCCAAATTTTGTCTAGCCCCCCCCAAAATAAATTCCGTAAAAGAAATTGCAATAGCAAAAAGAAGGATTGTGATGTACATGCGAACGCTCTCCCCCTAAAGAAGAAGTAGCCGTGACAAGTGTGCATTAGTTAATATAGTGTGAATGATTTTAGGATTTTATTGGCGCTCCCCATTGAAAATATGGCATGAGCTTCATAACTATCAAATAAATACAACCAAGAAGTTGATGAGAAACTCTACAAACTGTTGTTTTATTTACTCTTTTATTATAAACTTCTCTTAAGCGAAAAAGGGTAGTAAATTGACGAGGAAAACAGGAGCTATTTTACACACGTCCTACCCGACCTGTTGCTAAAAGAAAAGAGGACGCTCACGAGGCACGCATGCCGCTGGGTATTATTGGTAGGGCGCCAGAGGGCGCTATTGTATATAACTCTTAGTGGAAAATACCTGCCGGTAGGGGGAATATGCATAAGTAGTATTGCTTTACAGGTAAGTAGAGTGAAGTAGACTCCTATTGTTTTAATCCTAATGACATTGGCCTTTGTCTAATGGGTCCAAACTTACAAGCTATCTTCATTGTATCAAGGTTCAAGACATACATGGACATACAATCCAGATATCGCTGTGGAACCAAATGCACGGGCACGCACGCAAGCACACACGTTTACGTTGCATACCAAGTGTGGACATTCCATTGATTTCGTGTAGTTAAGAAAATCCAGTGAAAAAAAAAATCATTTTCTCAAACTGTGAAAACTCTTTCATTCCATTTTTTTTCTATGATCCCCTTTAGTGTTTCTCTTCATTCTGCCACCGATAAATCTAACCCCAAAATGCCTCTAAACCTGTTTTTCAGTAAGGGGAAACACTGTGTGGACTTGGGCACAACGTCTCCTCTACCTGGTTTATGTGGACCTCTCTTGATCGGAAGTCCAAACAGTGAATGTAATGCCTACCCACACACACACACCCATGCGTGTAAATGCCGGCAATCGTGGACGCCCCATTGTCCCTTATCCTCTTTCCTTTGTTTGTACTCTTTAACTTTTTAGCGACAGCTCTCATTGGTTTTGTACACGGTTTGAGATCGTGGACGTATTGTTTGCGCCCACATTCTTTTGTCCTACGTCCCCGATTGCTGGTGTTTACATACTCACACACTTATACACTGAAATTTGTATTCTTGTGGAGACAATTCTTTGTTCTCGTGTAGTAAAGTTTTCGAGTTTGAAAGTGAAGTTTCAAAATGCTCTTATTTTTTAACCAATTAATTTCCTTGGCTGAAATTTGGACTTAATATCCCTTTTCTAAAACTCTTCCATTTGCGACAAATCAACCCACCTTCAAAATTCCTAGTTTTTGAGTAAAATCCATATATCTACTTCGTGAAAATCGTGTGGAGACGTATTCATCTATAGAAATTGCCCTGTGGAGACGTATACAATCTTTTGTTCCCTATTGTGTGCACGTCTCCAGAGGGCACGGTGTATCAGATCACACGCACACACACACGGACGGACAAGGCGGAAATAGTATGAAAAAAATGTCCCTTAATTTTAGCAAGAAAGTGATTTAATCCACAAAATTTAAAATATATTCCTTCAATGCACCAGCAATAAACCATCAATTAATCGTTTACATATGTTTTGATGTATTACTGTCTGAGCCAATGCATCAAGTCATTCAAAACTCCACAAATATATGGATTAATTAGATGTAGTTCCACATTTGCAAAAAAATTACACATCTGCAAAAAAGTAATTACAGTAATTAAAAAATTAATTACAATAATTAAAAATTAATTAAATTAATTAAAAAATTGAACTATAAAAAGTATTCACTTCAAGCTTGTCACCATATAGTTACACAAAACTGGAATGAACTACCTCAAAATGTGGGCAGCAATAAATGCACGCAGTGCTCCCATGTACAAAATAATGACAATATAATTGTTTGTTTGCAAATGACTAGTCCCTTGGAACCCCCGTTTATCTGTGCTGTGAGTGTGTCTAACAACTATCTGCAGCCTCCAAAACACTCATTTCTTGAACGACAATGTCCAAGTAAGAGAATGTCCAAGTTTACTGCACTGACTCTTCTACAGGGGTAAGTAGTCACATACTCTGAAGTGTGCCAGTATAAATGAGCGTCCTTCAGCGCCCTCCACATGGTGGTACCATTTCAGCTGAACATAGAACTTTTAACCCTTACCTTGTCTCTGTATGATGTCAGAGGGGCATTTACAGCCGACAAGTGCTCTTGCCGATTCAAACCAGGCAGTTCGTATGGAAGCTTTCTGCCAACTGGCTGACTTGAAAGAGCCAGTGAGATGCTCATCAACCAAGTCAATGATGACACCAATGTACTTGCACTGCAGGTCATCAGAATTCCTGTTGAAGCCAGACTTTTTACCGGCTTGGAATCCTTGCTTTTCTTTGGGAAGATGATAAGGAAGCTGTGTCTTGACTGAGATTCCATTCAATGAATTCAGTAGAATAGCAGAGAGTCTCAATGCGAAGACTTGGGTTGTTGAGTTGCAGTCTGGATTGAGTGACTTCTGCAGGAATCCAAGGATGACACTTGTCTCATCTAAAAGGTTCTTTAAGGTTGCTGCATGGAATAAATAAGCAAAAACACATATTTTCAAATCCTCAACAAATTAATTGCAATTCATAGTTTCACCTCATTTTACAAGATTCACTAAACACTTTTTCTAAAGCTAAGCATATAAAAACATGATATGCGACTAACTGTACAAAAGAAGTCACTAGTCCCTTTAGTTTTGTGTTTTAAACCCCTTCACACCAAATCTTACACAGTGGGAATGTAAAGGAACGATCCACTTTTTCACCCATATTGCCGGGGACAGATCCAGAATGTTTAGGAAAGGGGATGCAACCATTTAGGCCCCCCCCCCCAAAAAAAGGCTCTGGTTTCTGGTCTGCACGCACGTCGCCGTAGCCATGCGAGTCGGCAATATTAAACAGTTTTTCCAATGTAAGATGATGTCTCAAAACCGCCAAACTCACTGGTTTGACTGGAATACTGATGCTGCACAATTTTAATGTGTTTTTTACATGGGGTTACGATCGAGTAAGCTTTATGTGGCCTCTCTGGGCTCCCATACATTTTGCACTAAATTTAGTCGGGCACCATTTGCAGTCACCAGCCGACATTTGAAGTAAAAAAAAAAAAAAAAAAAAAAGCCGCGTCGCCACACCACTTTTGGGGCAAGCTCCATACCAGAAATCAAAGACTTTGGGGGGGGGGGCCTTAGGGCTAAATCCTGATGTCTAAGGTGTGGTGTCCCGAGTTCCTGGGCCCACAAAATCTAACATTTCAAATGTTCTGTGGTGCAATCATGGCCTTCAAGGTCACATTTTTGCTCGAGAATATACAATGTTTTAAAAAAAACTATGTTTTTTTTAATTTTATTTTTTATCAAACACTACAGAATTAGGCTAATTGTTTTGTTCACAGTTATGGTTCATCTTTTTTGATAAAAAAAAAATCTGTACAACAAAAAAATATCCTTTTTAGTGACACAGTAAGGACAGAACAATCAAGACATTTAAAGTAAAATTATTTAAAATGCAACGGTTTCTGATACAATTGATTGATAAGAAACTTGGCCCAGTTAAAATAGAAATCTGGGAATGCGGTATGTTGCAACTGTTTTTCAATGACATTTAACCTAACCTTTGTAGTACATAGATCTACAAATCATTGTAATTAAAAAAAAACAGAAGGCAAGTTACATGTACAAAGAAAATGACTGTTTCCAAAACAAATGGGCTTGGATTGATCTCACCAGAGTAACGGATATAGAGGTGACTTCAAAATTTAAAGGAGGTGTTTTCCTGGGTTCCAGTCAGGATCATTGTGTTGCAGCAAACATCAACGTATTGCATCTTACAAACATTCCTATACATTACATGTACCTGGCGAGTCAGCAAGCTCAACCATCCAGGATAAGAGCTTCTCCAGACAAGTGTCATCTACAACCTTTTTGGAAGGGTCAATAAGTATATTCCATACATCAGGCAGTAGAATCATTGCATCTCTGGCAGTCTGTGGCAGTTGTGACGAATCTGCCATCATGAAGGCTCTAATCTGTTGATTGACCTATATTATTAGGGGGAAAAAAATAACTGGATGAAAGTACACAAACCCTGACACCCGTCTAGCTTGAGTAACTCCAGTAACGCTGGAGGAAAAACCTGTTCGTTTCCATGTGGTAGCAAGAGACCCAAAAAAACGGCCTCTCCAAAATTGTCCAAATTTCACCTCTTTTATCTCACCCCAGATTCCTACTACCTACCTCATACCATTCTGCAGTCTTTCACGAAGCTACTAATCGACTTGACACCGACCAAAAAACTAAAATATGAACATTATTGATTTCGTTGACTTGTCCGTTAAATTCGTGCAGTGCACACACAGTGTGCATGACAGGCCACGTGGCGCGTATATCCCCCACACGCACGTACGTACACCCACACGCAGAACACAGTAGGCCTACATTTACTGCCTTATTACACCATGCGTACAGTCCGTACTCACGTGTGTGTGCTTGCTGGTTGTGTTAGCCATTCGTACGGACAAGCCGCGTTGATTGTGGGTGCAGGGCCCGATTATCTCCCTTCGACAAAAAGCCGAGAGACCGCATTGAACAAGGCTATCCACTCGTGGGCACATGCAGTGTGGGTGATGCATGTGGGTACCATACCGCTTTCAAGCGCCGCTAGTGGGTTCCATTTTCGTCTGGTGCCATGTCGTGGCTCCCCCTCCCCCCCCCCCTTGCCCCCCCCCCCCCTTGCGACGCCCTAGCGGCGAGGCTATTGAAATCCCCACTAAGGTGACACCGAGTGGCTTCTTTTTGCATGAAACGCGTAAAGCATAAAACAGTCGTTGTGTTTTCCACGACATGGCACTAGACGACATTACTATACCTCATACATATTCATGATCGAGAGCCGAACGTTCACTGGTCAATTCACCATCACGTGCCAGATGTTATTCTTGCTGTTTACCAAACGCGCGCGCGAGGATTCACGCACATTGTAAATACGCATGCGTAGTAGACTGTCGCATGGGTTACCCGTGCGACAGTCTACTACGCATGCGCTTTACAGAGCAATCGAGGAACTGTCGCACGAGTGCAGTACGCACGCGCGAACATCGCACAGGAGAGATGCATGGTTGCATGGTTGCACGGTTCGCGTAAATGTTAATTTACTGAGCTCAATGATGCCGTACTGGAGAAAATGTATAGACCGTGTAAAGATGTCTCCTGTACAAAAGAAAGTTGTACACATTGCAAACAACTGTATTTACAACTGTAGTAACTGTACTATATTGCAAACGAACCGAACTAGTAATTGAAGTTGAATTTTTTGGTGAGCTGTACAAGTTTCCCCAAATTTTGTTTTAGGTGCATAATAATAAAACAAAATTCGGCAACTGAATATGTATGAGGTATAGTAAAACAAATATAACATGGTTTATTTCGGGTGGACAGTCGATATTAGCTCCCCTCGGTATTGGAAGTTGACAAACTAGTTCCCTCGGCTTCGCCTCGGGAACTAGTTTGTCAACTTCCAATACCTCGGGGAGCGAATATCGACTATCCACCCTCAAACCATGTTATATTTGTATAATGGAACCCACTAGCGGCGCTTGAAAGCGGTATGGTACCCACATGCATCGCGCACACTGCATGTGCCCACGAGTGGATCACAGGGCGATCGGGATGATCGATCTAGCTGATTTAGCAGATTTTTTTTGATTGTTTAGGTCACGTGTGAGTGTGCCGCTCATCTTAGGGCAAGTTCGCGCAAGGACTATAGTTAACCATTGGTCGACTAACGCTTGCCCGAACTCTGTCTAGTCGACGATGGTTAACTACGCTAGTCGACTATTTGGAACCAACCTACTGGGGTTGGTTGCTTTGCTGGTAACCATAGCCGCGCGCATTCATAACGTACAGCAGGGAGCCAGGATCCAGACGTTTTGCAATGACATTTTGACCAGCGTTCGACTAGAGACGTTCGCACTTTGCTATTAGTGCGCAGGCGTAAGGTACGTCACAAATCAACCACTAGTCGACTAATGATCCTTGCCCGAACTTGGCCATTGACGACAGCATTGGTATACGCACGTACCAGTACATGTACACACCCGTACTCGTACAACAGCCATGCACGTACGTGCAAGTTAAGCATAGCCTCGCTGTATGGTACAAGTTACTTTCTCACTAGCAGCGTATGGGCATCGATATGTGCACGCAATTATGCCTTGCCAAGTTGATTAGGGATTTTCTTACCGGCGATTTTTTTTTATAGGCGAATCGATAAGCCCAACGCCTTGGTCAAGGCTACTTATAATTCAGCCCTATCTTAAAGAGTACAGCGCCCTCTGTTGATATGGATTGCCGCCGGCAAACCTTTAGTAAACGTTAGTTTGCCGTCATTACCTCCTGCAAAATATCTTATTATACATTCCCAACTTCCTTGTGACCTCTGAATGGGTGCATTGTTAGTTTGGCTTGTGCAAAACAAACCAGGTAAGCTCGGGCATCGAAGATCATTGATAAACACGGTGATGCATTACTAAAAAGAAATGTAGGCCTAATGTGAAAGGTAGCAATCTATGCATTAATTGTCCAACAGTTCAGCAGAAACTCTTATGTGCGTCATTATACCTTCCTCGAGGATAAGGGAAGAAAATCCACTTTTAAATTATTAGACCTACAAAACTAGTTGGCGACATTCTCAATAAACAGGTATGTCCAGGCGCGGTTCTATGGGGGGGGGGGCTAGGGGGGCTGTAGCCCGGGGGGGGGGGGGGGGCTAGGGGGGGCTGTAGCCCCCCAAAAATTTTATCTAGCCCCCCAAAAATAAATTCCGTAAAAAAAAAATTTGCATAAGCAAAAAGAAGGATTGTGATGTACATGCGAATGGTCTCCCCCTAAAGAAGAAATAGCCGTGACAAGGGTGCATTAGTTAATATAGTGTGAATGAAAAATAAGATAGTGGCTATTTTGCCGGAGGTAATGACGGCAAACTAACGATTACTAAAGGTTTGCCGGCGGCAATCCATATCAACAGAGGGCACTGTGCTCTTTAAAATAGGGCTGAATTATAAGATGTATTAAATTCCCACCAAAATTGTGTAGCACGTTTGGTGTAGTGGTTAAGCAAAGGCTCTAGTAAGCGGGATGACTCAGGTTCGATTCCGACCGCACCACATTTTAAAGTTTTTTTGTCATCCCCAAATAAATAAGAATATTCTTCTTTTATTATTTTAACATGTCTCAAACATTTTTTGCAGTGTATTACATTTTCTTTTTCAGATTTGTGGCTCTGGAGGATTTTTTTTAAAAGGAAAATAAAGTCCAAAATTATAAAATGGTCTGAATCTCATCTTGTGAATACGAGGTAACAACGATAATTTTGGCATGGAGCCAGACTACAACTTTTCACCGGAAAATGTTTAAGTACAAAAAAACAGTAACTGCGCATGTTCAGTGTATATCCGGCAAACTAACGTTTACTAAAGGTTTGCCGTCTCCGGCAAAATATACACTGCCAAAAAATAACCGGTCAACATTTCAGCACGCCTCCCTGAAAAAATTCTGGATCCACCGTGCTAGCCCCCCAAAATATTGGTTCTAGAACCGCGCCTGGGTATGTCATAGATAGAGGGCAGGGTTTTTATTTTTTGAGGGAAATTTGGGGGTAAAATGACGATGACAGCGCGGCGGCAACACGCGACCGGAAAATAAAGATGGCGATCACCGCGCGATGTACTGTGAGCACGCACGGCGCGCTGAATCGCAAGGCAAAATCTGCGCAGGAATTGGAAAATCGTGATTTCTACCCCAAGAAGCTGTTCAAAATTGCAAAACGGGTGTCATTAGAATTGAGAAACGTCTGCTTTTGATTGTAAAGGTGATTTTTGCGCAATAAAAATATTTTTGACTCTAATTTGATCAAAACAAAACAGGGGCCCAACACTTATACTTATAGTCGTGTTCCCTAACGTGGCGCACTTCGAAGCTTACCCAACTTTCCTCGTGTAGTGTTGCCAAACCTCTTTGTTGACAAACCTCAAATTCATGCAGTGAAAAACTGGTACTTTTACCTTATTAATGCTTGCTATTTAACCTCTGTGAACAATTTCGGTTTCATAAAATTTTAAGCCGAAATTGAAAAACGGTGGCGTCCGGAAATTGGGCACAAATTGGCGGAGTGTTCCCTAACGTGGCGCACTTAAATAAATCTCGGAAAATTCCAAATTAACATTTAAGAATTTCTGTAAACTTGATAAATTTTGATAAGTCATTATTATCTCTACTTACATACCCAGCCAGATGTTTGTCAGAAAATTATTTTCTTATTTTTCGGGGCATTTTCAAAGGGTTCACTTTGCACTTGAAAATAAAATCGGAAAATCACGCCAAAAGAAATTTTTCTTTTAACTTTGTAGCGGGTAAATAAACTCGCGATTTATAAACGGGAGTGTTTAGAACTTGATGAAATTTCACTTTCTGTGAAATTTCAGTTAAAACTTTTGCTGTAGCTAGGCGCTACAGGCGAAAAATCAAAGTGCGCCACGTTAGGGGCCGCGCCACGTTAGGGTACATCAACAATACTTCACGATCGCCCTAGCCCAGGTTGGACGAAGTCTTCATTGCAATACGACTAACGTCCAGGACAAGACTTTTCTACATGAAACCATCCCAACATTTTTACCAGAGTTTTGTATGTTTTACCTCGTTATAGAAGCTTATTTCACGCCTACATACTCTATGTATCCTTATCTATTGGCCACTTGGTTCAGGAATTCCATATGCGATGCTGACTGACGTTAATCAGGAAAATAAACTCCAAAGCAACGTTAAACTTGTTCGTGTTTGTAGTCTCTTTTCATCAGTTTATTCACAGAGTCGTACATCATGTACAATGTACATGATTATGTACAAATGTACGTGCGTACGATCCGAAAGCGCGCACGCACGCTAGCGCCCTCATTTGTTTAGTTTTGGTTGAACCGTGACGTCACTCCAGCCAACCGATGTCACGAAAACGCTCAACCAATGACCAAAGCCGAAGTGTGTTTCTGGTAACTGGCGCGAAAACACACTCGGTCATTGGATTAGCGACCGCGCCTTCAAGTAAGTGCGCGTGCGTATGAGGGTGGTTACTAAGCAAATCACGCGTGCGCACTGCATATTCATACGGCATAGTCTGTCCCTCGGACCAGATGTGATATGAGCGTCGAGAATAATTGTCCGGTCTAGGGAACCAGACTACACGCTGCACAGACGTTCATGGTATGATGTACGACTAGAATAGACTCGGCGGTGAGAAACTGATGAAAAGAGACTAAACACGTACAAGTTTAACGATGCTTTCGAGTTTATTTTCCTGATTGACGTCAGTCAGCATCGCATATGGAATTCATGAACCTAGCGTACTAACAGATAAGGACACATAGAATATACGACGTAAAAATTAGCTTCTCCAACAAGGTAAAAATGTTGAAATTATTGGTAAGAAATGTTTTCGTTCGGTTGTGAGCACATGTATACTCAGGACTCCCTCCGTAACGTAGGGAGGAAAGGGAGTCCACCAGGGCTAACGATCGCCCTAGCTCTACTGAGTGGAGCGTTGAATTACGGGTACCCCTCCATATACCAACGCTCCACCGATTCGCCATACTTTGGTAGCACCATCACAGTCATGACAGTAGCATAGTCATGATAGTCACAAACCCACGCGAGGACAAAAAGACCCAAAAAAAACGGTAAAGAGATTACAAATGAGAAAGACAGTTATCCTGGATTGATCTATACATTCTTGACATTCCATGAGACCCCTTATATTGTTCCCAAACAGCGAACATTTTGGAAAAAACAGCAAAATAGTCTGAAAACTTACAGTTCAATGTGTTTGCATGGAGGCTCAGTTCTTGAATTAGCTTGTCAATGAGGGCGTCTGACGTGACGTCACCGTCGTTGACCATTGGTCGACTAACGCTTGCCCGAACTCTGTCTAGTCGACGATGGTTAACTACGCTAGTCGACTATTTGGAACCAACCTACTGGGGTTGGTTGCTTCGCTGGTAACCATAGCCGCGCGCGTTCATAACGTACAGCAGGGAGCCAGGATCCAGACGTTTTGCAATGACATTTTAACCAGGGTTCGACTAGAGACGTTCGCACTTCGCTATAGTGCGCAGGCGTAAGATACGTCACAAATCAACCACTAGTCGACTAATGGTCCTTGCCCGAACTTGGCCTTGCAAGTCGCGCGGACGAGGTTGATGCGCATATGATTCTCCAAAAAAGACGTTCGCACTTCGCTATAGTGCGCAGGCGTAAGATACGTCACAAATCAACCACTAGTCGACTAATGGTCCTTGCCCGAACTTGGCCTTGCAAGTCGCGCGGACGAGGTTGATGCGCATATGATTCTCCAATGTTGTGTCCACAAGTTAGTTGACGGCTGTTTCATGTCTCAACAATGCAGCTAAATAATCGATCAGCTCAGCTCACTTCATAATTCAGTGGGTATTTTGCGGAACTTGCAGAACGTGCAGAACTCTGCAGAATTGGTAATAAAACGCTAAATTAAGATGAAATACTGGCTTTAAAAGTACAGCAAGGGCCCAATCTCATTATTAAGTCCCAAAATCGTCATAATCTGCCCTTAAATAAATTGAAAATAAAAGATTTCCCACCTGTTTGTGCCGTTGTATAATAATTGTGTGGAGTATTTGCAGAACAGTGCAGAACACTTGCTGTACAGGGATACATGCCGTTTACAAACCAAGGGTGCAGGGAGACTCAGTGCTCTGTGAAGCACTGTTGATAGGGGGATAATGTACCGCTGCAGAACGAATTCTGCCGAAGTAACATTATGGAATTATCGTAATGTTTTATTTGCAATGTCGACAAGTGTCTTATATCCTCCACAAGTTCATGGGAAGGCCCTCTGTATTAATAGTTCCATGTTTTACCCAGGCAACACGATCAATGGGTACGGGCCTCCGAGAGTTTCGCGTTTTACACAGGCAGAATCAAAATTAAAAATCATCAGAATGTTTTAATTTTAATCTGGATAAGTGTAGTATATCCTCAACAACTCCTCTGATTTTTTTCTGTCGAAAATTCACCCGGGAAGACCTTTTTACAATGAGAGTTCCGCGTTTTACCCACCCAGGTTTTTTGTGCAAATAGGCCTATTGCACGGTATGTGCAGTATACGCGTACTGGCTCCGATGCTGTAGGAGGGGGCATCTTTATCGCTGCAGAATCAACATTAACAGTACTCACAATGTTTTAATTTAAATTTGGATCAGTGTATTATATTCTCAACAACTCCTCTGATTTTTTTCTTTCCGAAATTCACCCGGGAAGATCTTTTAAAATGAGAGTTCCGCGTTTTACCCACCCAGGTTTTTTGTGCAATTGAATAGGCCTATTGCACGGTATGTGCAGTATACGCGTACTGGCTCCGATGCTGTAGGAGGGGGCATCTTTATCGCTGCAGAACCAACATTAAAAATCATCACAATGTTTTAATTTTAATCTGGATAAGTGTATTATATTCTCAACAACTCCTCTGATTTTTTAATGAGAGTTCCGCGTTTTACCCACCCAGGTTTTTTGTGTGCAAATAGGCCTATTGCACGGTATGTACAGTATACGTGTAATGGGTCCGATGCTGTGGGAGGGGGGCATTTTTATCGCTGTAGAACCAACATTAAAAATCATCACAATGTTTTAATTTTAATCTGGATAAGTGTATTATATCCTCAACAACTCCTCAGATTTTTTTCTATCGGAAATTCACCCGGGAAGACCTTTTAAAATGAGAGTTCCGCGTTTTACCCACCCATGTTTTTTTGTGCAAATAGGCCTATTGCACGGTATGTGCAGTATACGCGTACTGGCTCCGATGCTGTAGGAGGGGGCATCTTTATCGCTGCAGAATCAACATTAAAAATCATCACAATATTTTATTTTTAATCTGGATAAGTGTATTATACTCTCAACAACTCCTCTGATCTTTTTCTTTCGGAAATTCACCCGGGAAGACCTTTTAAAATGAGAGTTCCGCGTTTTACCCACCCATGTTTTTTGTGCAAATAGGCCTATTGCACGGTATGTGCAGTATACGCGTACTGGCTCCGATGCTAGGAGGGGGCATCTTTATTGCAACAGAACCAACATTAAAAATCATCACAAGGTTTTAAGTTTAATTTGGATAAATGTATTATATCCTCAACAACTCCTAGAAATGTTTTCGTTGAAAAATGAACCCGGAAAGACCCTCTGCTTTTAGAGTTCCCCGTTTTAGCAAGTCAGAAAATGAACACGGGAAGAGCTATATTTTACAGTTCTGCGTTTTAATACCCAGGCAGCGCGACGGGTATATACGGGCCTAATGCACGTTAATAAAATGTACGTGTAACTAGTTACTTTGCCGTTGGAGGGGGGGGGGGTGTTTACCGATGCCTCACTTTTATTAAAAGTGATGATAATGTTTTAATTTTGATGTTGATAATTGTCTCATATCCTCCGCAACAGTTCGCATTTCTTTGGTTGGAGACTTGAAACGGGAAGGCGCTCTGTTGTTAGAGTTCCGTGTTTTACCTTGCAGCGCCATGGACATCCCGGCCTGAACCTTTCCCCGGCCCCCAGCACTGTGAAAAATATTTCTTTCCATATAAATGCACCCCAAAATAATGATCCCCCACCCCTGCTCTGCTATCAAAACTCAATAACACTGGTATAGATACACCTGTGCACTTATTCCTCCATGGTCAGAGCATGCTGGTTACGGGGGTATTTGTACACTATCAATGTGGTGTTAATAATTCTCGCAATTGAACAGCGCCCCCGTTTAAAATATAGTCTGAGCCCACCCCAACCTCGTGCCCAGGGTGTCGAGCAGTACGCGCCCACCACTACCTGCTCTCTCAGGAAACGCGGTTGGAAATAAAGTAAGCACTGGGGACGAGGTTGAGCCCACCCCCATCTAAAAAACATGTCTACATTTTCAACATTGATTTTCTGAGGACCCCCCCCCCCCCCAAAAAAGACCTCAATTCGCCCCTGCGGGCATGTACATAACAGTATCGGTTCCGTGCCATTGTGAGTGACGTGTTTACCGCTGAAGAATTAAGTAACCTTTACAGCGATCGCAAAGTTTTTTAACTGTACAGTGATGTTAATGTCTATTTTCAGCGCGTCACCGCGTATTTCTAATGGGCGCAGCCCTAGAACAAGCTGTACACTGATGCAGCCTAACATGTACATTAGTGCAAAGGTCATCGCTACTTTGTCAGTTTCCGACCTGACTTTTCCGCAAAAGATTCGAATAGAAAAAGCGCCTTTTTGGGGAGGGTTGCAGACGCCCAAAATATCACAAACAACGTACGTCGACAGCTGCTTATCTGCAGCCAATGTGCTCACAACGTCAGGGGGCAACTCGCATATTCTTGTGGAAATGTAGGTTCTTCTTTTTGTCGCTCTCATATGACAAGTCGCTAAGCAAACAAATGCTAACCTTCATGCCGTTTGGGGGTTTCAGCTGCATTTTCATGATTAAAACGCTAATGTCCGATCTCTCTCTAACGTTTATATCAAGTGTTTTACCTGAAAGACAAAATCGCTCACTTTTAGGATTAATTGAAGGGGACCTGAAATTACGATTCTAGTCAACTGTCTTTACTTTCTTGGGGTCATTTTGCACGCTGTAGCAATTACATCGTTTGCTATATACTTTTGAGGTGTGCATGTCATTTCATGCGGGTAAGCTTCGCACTGTTATCTTAAACAGACCATGGACGTACCTATATAGCTCCATATTGGACAGACTAAGGAGTGACTGTGCAGTACGGTGAAGATAGGACATGGTTAAAAATAAATCTAATTCGTACGTACGAATTACTAAACCGTACGTACGAATTACTAAATCGTACGTACGAAATAATTAGTAATTCGTACGTACGGTTAGTAATTCGTACGTACGATTTAGTAATTCGTACGTACTATTTAGTAATTCCAGTGGCGTAGCCAGGAATTTTTCAGTGGGGGAGGGGGGGGGGGCGCCGGGGGGGGGGGGGGGGCTGGAACATTTCAGGTGAGGGGGGGGGGGGCGTCATGTAGATCAATGATAATTTTTTTTAGAAACTCAAAATCTCAGTGGGGGGGGGGGGGGGGGGGGGGGGGGGGGGGGGGGGGGGGGGGACAAGGTTTCATGGTGGGGGGGCTGTCGCAGTGGGGGGGGGGGGGGGGGCGTGGGGGTGACAGCCCCCCCATGAAACCTTGTCGCCCACCAGTCGCCCCCCACTGAGATATTGAGTTTCTAAAAGAAATTATCATTGATCTACATGACACCCCCCCATGAAATGTTCCAGCCCCCCAGCGCCCCCCCCCCCCCCCCACTGAAAAATTCCTGGCTACGCCACTGCCCCCACGCCCCCCCCCCTCCCGTGGGTACGCCACTGAGTAATTCGTACGTGCGATTTATTAATTCGTACGTACGGTTTAGTAATTCGTACGTACTGTAGCGGAACAGTTAATATTGGCGCGCTAGGTTCACCGTAGTTTAGTTGGTTGGTACGCGGACTTCTGTCCGTTGTACAGCGCGCGAGTAGCGTGGCTGGTTGGTACCCAGCGCGGGTATATAAGCGCATGTCGCGCGCGCACTCACTCTCTTCAATTTCACTCGTCCATTTCACTCGTCCATGGATTGCACTCTCCCATTGCACTGCTCACGTTGTGTGCTTTAGCTGTTAATTGTGGCGCGAAGCGTAGCACAGTTCCCGCTCAGAGACTTGGAGTTGCTGAAGCGTGTGTAGTACAGCTGTGGTCAGTCTTTCACTCAGGAAGAGCACTGGTTTAGTTCCGGTGAGTGCAGGGATTAGGAAATCTGGTTGGTACGGGAAGCGTTCCAGTTCTCGACGATTATTGGA